TCACTTACTGCATAAAGTTGTACTGATCATCTGAGTGATAGATGAATCTGAAACAGAATTTAGCTAGAGAATCAGATGGTTTCTCTCAGTAAAGATTACTGTTTCTCTGGACAATGAGAAAAGGAAGGAGCATGAATTATGGGATCACTTCACATCCTGGTTCTGCTATTTATCAGCGTATTTATGTGGACAACGTATTATGTGTGCACTGACTATCTCTTCATCTAAAAAACAGAAATAATATGTCCTTTTGAGGGTTACATGAAATAAGTTGAGCCCGGCTGGCTCAGTGGTTGAGCATCGCCGGTTCGATTCCCGGTCAGGGCACAGGCCCAGGTTGTGGGCCCAATCCCCAGTGGGGGGCATGCAGGAGGTGGCCAACTGATGTTCTCTCTCATCGATGTTTCTCTTTCTCCCTCTCCCTTCCTCTCTGTCTAAAATCAATAAAGAAAAATTTTTATTTTAAAAAAGGGTTAAAAAAAATAAGTTGAGTAAAAGAGGTCACGCTAGTGCTGACACACATCATTTTCTAGATAAATCTAATTTCCCATTCTATTTTATAAATAATAAAAATTTATGTTTATAGTTTTATAACTCATATTCTGTGTGGGTTATCAAATTTAGAGCGTTACTAGTAACCAAAAGCTTCAAGCTCATTAATTCTTCCCAATATTTTGACATATAAGTGAGCTGAGTCCAAGGAGGATTTTCTGTGCGTTAGGTCACAAAGTTAGCTGCAGAGAAAGATTTCAGGAAATGAACAGTGAATGAAGAGCTCTGGCCGCGGACAGACCCAGCTTCGACTGCAGAATGCCGCTTCCTAGCTTTGCAACAACAGAAAAATGATCTTCTTGGGGTTTCAATGAATTTTTCTTTCAAGTGGAGGTAATAATATTTATGTCACACAATAGTGAAAATTAAATGACACGATGCATGAAAAAAACAGATGAATTCGTGTGTAATAAATGAAGGTGGTGATTATATTCTCAGAAATCATTCCACTCTTTGATTATTCATTCAATTTTTATGTATAAATATCTGACAATTTTTCTTTTACTGAGCGCACCCTGAAATAACTGACCTAAAAGTCGGTAACCCGAAAGCCCCCTTTGAAAATCACTGCAAAGCAGTAATAGAACAAATGGATTCCAGTTTAATGAGTGGCTGCTTCCAGAAAATTCCTAACAACATAAAATAAGCATCTGTAAGTCCGCTTTGGGCTTTGGCATACGAAGAAGCGTGTCTGGAGTTGTTTTCTCAGGGGGTCTTATGTTCAACGTCTCTTATTAAATCTCCCTCTGAACAGCAGTGCTGGTTGTGTGAGGAAATGAACAGTGTAACCTGTGACTAAAATTGTTTTTTACTCTCAGCTCCCGGATTTTTATTGGGTTTCATGTTATTTTCAATAATGCAGTGTTACAAGTAACCAAATCCACAGGCTCAAATGCCCCTAAATTATTTTTTGATGTAAACAATCTTCTTCTTTCTAGAATATCAACCCTGTTTTACCCTTAAAGCCCTTGATATTTTTATTTTTCCCGACTCCCTAGTATGCTCCTGCTACAATAAAAAAGAAGACTGGTTATTTGGGGTCCTAAAATCTCATACTCTTTTCTGCTTTTGCCTATCCTAGCCTAACCTTAGGCCCAATGCATTGCACTTAGAAAAAGTAAATGTTTGCTATTGTTATTATTACCACTATTATTTTGCTTATAAACTCAACTCTTCCTTCAAGGCCTACTTCTAATTCATCCTCCTTGTTCTAACTTCTTACCTGGCTTCCTTACAACTACTCTTGTAATTAATGCTCCAGACATGGTTTTAGGAACTTAAATCTATTTTACTTTATTTACAATGTTAAAGTCTATGTTCTGAGAGCATTCTGTTCATCTAAATATATGCAGGTTCAAAGCTGTTTAAGTGATCCATTGAACTGAAGTGGGAGAGTGTTTTCATGAATGAGGTCTCCAATTCATGTCTACTTCAATGGCAAGGGTCTTCCCATTGGAGTCCACTCAGTTTTCGAGAAGGGCCCTAGATTAAGATGTCATTTCTAGGTGTCCTTCCTCCAATAAGACCTCACCTTTACCGATTTCTTCTCTCTATATAAGAGTTCTGTAGTCTTTTTGGTCCTTCTGATCTAAAAGAATGGTTCTGCCCTGGCAGGTTTGGCTCAGCTGTTGGAGCGTCGGCCTGCGGTCCAGAGAGACCCGGGTTCGGTTCCCGCTAAGGGCACGTACCTCGGTTGCAGTTTGTCCCCGGCCCTGGTTGGTCATGCAGGTGGCAACCACTCGATGTGTCCCTTTCATGTCGATGTTTTTCTCTCTCTCTCTCCCTCCCACTCAATCTGAACAAAAATGTCCTCAGATGAGGATAAAAAAAAAAGAAAAAGAAAATAAAAGAATGGTTCTATGAATAGATGTATTTGTCACATTGGTGAGTGCATGTCCAAGGGTCAGGTCCAAGTGCTTGGACCACGATGCATTCCTGTTGTGTATTCTGCATTTCCGAGGTTGAGAACGGTATTTCCCCTTTAGCCTGGTTTCGCGCCCTGGTCCTTCTCCTGGGCCATGACAGCATCATCTGCTATAAGCCAAGCTAGAGACTCTAACAGTCTGGCCACACTCCTTTCTCTTTTACTCCTGACACTGGATCTGGTCACCAAATGTTAAAGGTTCTCCTTGTAAATATACCTTGATTCTGTGTCCCTGTTTATAAGCTTAACTTTCCAGGTAGAAGGAAGGGGGGTTCATTATATCCGATTCCCATCCAGAAGAAGATAAAAAATGGGATTATTAGAGATAATAATGTCCGAAGTACCTGGGCTCATCTATACACATGTACTCTGTGATTTACACATTTATTTTTAACATTAGATTTTTGTGACTATATAGAAAATAAAATCGGATAGCAATATAACTTGGTATAATTCGAACTAGACACCCCAGCCACAGAATCCCCCCCCCCCAGTTCAGGTTCCACTCTTCCACCCCCGTGAATTTGTTGGCTCATCTTTTAAAGCTTTGGGTTGCTGTTGTGATCTGATCTCTTTTGCTCCATTAATTGCTGTCTTCCATCTATAATTTTTTTCTTGATAATTATTATTATTGGAAAACGATGTCAAACAAATCGCACCCTTTCCCCCCAGCAATGTGGTATCCCTCTGTATCAACCTCTCTGTCCAGCAAATATTTCCATCCACTCTGCTCCTTGTTTCCTGTTTCCCCACTGTCTTGACCTCAACAGACCCAGGCTTTTCCCAGGTGTTGGGTTGCTGTCACCATGTCCCTGATGTCCTAGGGCAGTGGTCAACAAACATTTTGGTCTCAGATATCCTTTATACTCTTATAAAATATTAAAACACTTCTAAGATATTGTATTTATATGGGTTATATCGATGAATGTTTACTGCATTAAAAACTAAAATGTTATATTCTATGTATTACATAGTTTTTGAAAATAACAGTATTTTCCAAAGCAAAAATAAAGTGAGGAGCATTTTACATTTTTACAAGTATCTTCATTGTTTGACTTAACAGGAGACTGCCGGATTCTCCTACTTGCTTTTGAATTCAGTCTGTTGCTATGTCACACATCAGGTCGCCTCTGGAAAACTCCATTGTACACTCATGAGAGAATGAGAAGGAAAAAAGGCAAATGATACCTTAGTGTTGCTATAAAAATAGTTAGACTGCCTGAAAGCTACACACTTTGAGAACTAGTGTCTTAGGACCAAGAAAAACAGCATCTCGTAGGCAACAGTGGTTTGGGACCACAATGAAAATGACAATCCCTTCCTCCATCAAATATTCTTGCGTTTTAGTCATGTTACAGGTAGCCTATGTTTCTCCATTTTACTGCAAAAAAACCACCACTCTATTGGCTCCTGTTGCTTTTATTTCCAGAGTCGCCTCCTCCCAGTCCTCAGCCTCATCCCCCCTGCTGAGTGCTCAGCCCCCTGCTGAGTGAAGGTGCATTTCAAAAGAAGCTCCGTCTCTCCTTTGTCTGCGAAGCTTTCCCCACCACTCAGATTCCTCTGACTGCATGGACCACACCTTCTGGGCCCCTTGCATTCCTAGCCTGTAACACTGAATTTTACTGTGCACACCGCACCAGCCTGCATCCAGGAGCCTGGGGCTCCATTCCTGACTCTGCTACTTAATTGGTTACAGGACCCTGAAGAAGTTTTCAAGGTTTTGGTTCAAAGTGCCTTGGTTTCCTCATCTGTAAAATGGAAACCTCATAGGGATTTTGTAAAGATTAAATAAGTCGATTTCTATAAAACACTAAGAACAGTTCCTACCAGATAGTAAGAGCTTAACTAATGTCATCTCTCTATATACTTATTGTTGCCATAATTTTCAATTTCTACCTCAGATAAACTATATTCCCCAGTTCCACCCATGCGACATAGAGACCACTTGCTCAGACTTATTGAATGAATTCAAGAATAAAGTAATACATTGTGTAGGTCTTGCTGAGTTGATTAAATTCTGTTTTCTGGCTTGAATCATAGCATGTATTTTGAAGTGAGTCCGTATACAGGGGCAGTAAGAATTCTGGGCCAAGCAGGGAAGGTGTTTACTCCACTACAGATTACCAGTTAAAAGAACTTATGCAAGTAAAATCAGAATTTCCATCTGTAAAATGAGCAGATCCTTTTTTGCTCATCTTACAGGACTTTTGAGAGGGTCAAATTAAAACACGCACCCAAAAGCAAGCCAACAACTGCAAAGGGCCTAGCAAATCTAGAGGATTATTGTTGTTTACAAAGAGAGCTGGTTGGTCATTCTAATAATACCTGCTTTCTAATAGACATTCATTCTTGATTCTCTTATAGGAAACATTAGTTTCTTTTAAAAAATTAGACATGGTCGAGGGATAAGCAAACTTAATTCTTTATTATCACATGTGGAACATGCAACATCAACATTGAAACTGACAGGAAATGTATTTTGTGATTTTACTTTGCAAATGATCTGTGTGCTTTGTCGTTCCAGGTGCCTGTGGTGGCCATCCTGGGCTCAGGCGGGGGTTTCCGAGCCATGGTGGGGTTCTCCGGTGTGATGAAGGCTCTGTACGAATCAGGAGTTTTAGACTGTGCTACCTACATTGCTGGTCTTTCTGGCTCCACGTGGTTCGTATGCATTTTAAATCTTAGCTGCATCCTCCTAAATGTTTAGCATGTATCTACCTAAAGCATGAGGGGGGAGAGGGGGGATTTAGAACAGTGGACATGAAGTTCCAATTATTGAAATGTTCCAGCTGTATGCAATAACTGACATCTGAAACATGGTTTATTTATTTTATTTTTTTATCCTCACCCGAGGACATTTTTCCATTTTTTGTTCAGGTAGAGTAGGAGGGAGAGAGAGAGAGAGAGAACATCGACGTGAAAGGGACACATCGAGTGGCTGCCACCCGCACAACCAGCCAGGGCCGGGGACTAACTGCAACCGAGGTACGTGCCCTTAGCGGGAACCGAACCCGGGTCTCTCTGGACCACAGGCTGACGTTCTAACCACTGAACCAAATCGGCCAGGGCTGAAACATGTTTTTTAAGGCAAATTCATACCTAGTGATGACTCTTGTCATAAATTCATTCCTTTTAAGCCTGTTTGTAACTTAAAATGTAGTGAAACATAAAGTTAAAAAATATATTAATTGAAATAATTCTATATGAATAGCACAGAAATGAAATAGCATACTCCACCCATAATTAATTTAATCTTCTTATAATTTGCTGAATTATAATCTTTCAGAGATTACATCTAAATCTACATGATTCACTAGGTATTCATATTTTTCTTTAGGGCAAACAGAGTGAAATGCAATATACCTTAATATACAGAAGAAGGAAAACAACTTTGAATGTGAAAATGCAATAAATTTCACTGATTTGCATTTAACTAATTAAGAAATTAATCCTGTAAATGTATTTAAGCTCAGCTAATCTTGAATAGAAAGTAAAAACATATTTATGTATGTATAATATTTGTATACTATAGATTTGCCTTTCCTAAATATATGAACATTTTCAAAGGAGAGACTACACACATTTTGGTTCGCCTACCTCACATCAAATATTAGTCCTTGCTTAGATGTTTCATATAAAGGTGTCACCTATTACAGATGTCTGACTTTGACTTACAAAGGTTTAAGTCACTCAGCCATAGGAAAGTTCATCTATCATACTATTATATTATATATGTCTAGTATTTTAAATTCAGTGTCTTTTCAGTCGGTGACATGGATATTAGCTTTTTTTCATTTTTCAAGAAAATTTGACTCAAGAACCAAGGGATTTGTCCAACATCACTCATGGAGCCAGAATATAAATTCAGGCTTTTGATTCCCTATTCTAGGATTATTTCCACTAAAACCACAACTGTCTCCTGACAGCTGTTTATACTACATGGAGGTTCACATATAAAGAATCTAGAGTTTCTTAAATATTATGAACTAGATTCTTTAGCTAAAAACAAAAACCTGGACCCGTTGTTGCCACTTTCTTGGTTTGTACCCTTAAAATAATGTCTCACTTTTAAAAGAAGGGTGTAGTCCATCATTATTCTCTTCCTTGCAGGACAGAGCAACCACGTGCCTGTTTAATTAGTAATGTGATGGAAAAACTTGGACCCTTAGATTAATTCACCTACTCAAGCATTTTGTTATTTCTCTTCTGGTGGTAATCCTTCACTGTGTGTTAGATCCCTATGGGCCATCACTGACCTACCATTGCAAGAAGCTTACTTTCTTAAACTCATGTCATAAAGAAAGACTAGGCCTTAAGTGCTGGGTGGGGACTTTAATCGTGTGTCTTTGGGCTTAATTAGAGCAGCAGTCATTGTTTGGTTGTAGATTTGGGGCAACATCTTACATTCTCCGGTCAGAGTTCTGAAAACAAGTCCTGCAAAAGGTCACTAAGAGAACTTTAAATGTTACAGGCACGTATTTATCTATATATATAAACTTCTGCCCTCCCCTTCACTATCTAAACTCCTCAAAGATTAGCCTTGTCTAATTTATTCCATTTCCTTAGAAGCGGTTCACTCCTACAGTCCTTACAAATTTTCACAGAGACCACCTGTCATTTACGACTGTAGTGGTGCCTTTCGAAGTTCTTGTCCCCCTAGGGGGAGTAAGGGAAATGAGGTTGGCGGTGGAGACCTTTCACATACGGACTTGTCTGTCCCACTGTGGAACCCCTCCCACTGTACATTTTTGTGTTTATTATATCCTCTCCGATGCTCTCTCCTCCGCATTTCTGTACTACTTCTGCTACTTTTGTCCTTAATGGGAGCTTTCATCGAAGACCTGCCTTCTGTTCTATTATAGCGACTCATTCTCCCTTGGTCATTTCAGCACCTTCTACCACTTCAGTTGTAACCACCAAAAATTTAATTCGTGAAATTCTAGAACATTCCAAAAGTTAGTGGCCCCCAAAAGGAAAGACAACCTTAATGAACAATGCAAAGTAGCCGTCAGAGAAGAGAAGCAACTGAAAGATGAGTGCCAGGGGCCGGGCGTGGTGAGCGCTTCACCCAGCGGTGGGCATTTCAAGAGAGGAAATCTATGAGCAGCTTAGTTTAGAACTGGGTTTGGAGCTCATTAGTGGTTTTATCAAGAGTCAGTAGATATAGCAAATAAAGGCCACGTTTGATCATGAAATTGCAAATAAGGATTATTTCAACAAAGGCAATATAGGACCAGGGAAGGGTTTTTATTTGGTTTTCAGAATTTAAGAGATTTGAGCATTTTTATAAAAGTCTGAGGTGAAGGAACTAGTGTAGAGGGATAGATGGAAGAAAAAAGAAAAAAAAGAGAGATGGATCATGGATAGAAAAAGATTCAAAAGAAGACAGGAGAGTACAAGATAAAAAGCAGTAAAGTTGTTAACCTTGGAGAGAAGAGACACCTCCTGAGGCGGAAGAAAAGGTGGTCAAGATGATTCATGGTAATAGTTCTCTCTTGAAAAGTTAGGGAGAGGAGGCACAAAGTTCAAAGGAAGGAATTTGGAAAGAACTGAAAAAACAAATTACACTCTGTGTTGTGTAAGTTTATACTGGGCTGATACATGACCATGACTTGGCACGGATGAGGTAATACGGAAGTGTGTGGAGAAGCCCTGGACCTCCCAATAAGTTTTCTGCGATCACAAAAGAGAACTTTATGTAGGACAAAAGCTTCCCCTGTAACTGCTACTACCTTTAGGGTAATTATTTCTGAAATTGTTTTTGGATGATACTTGTTATTTATAAAATATACGTATGGTCCAACCAGGAGAACCGACATAAATGAATTAAGAGAATCAAAACAGTAATCCTGTGTTCTCTGACTCTCTTCCTTGGTACAACTATTCTCATGTAGCATCATAAGAAGCTATTAGACATGGACTGCCATGTTTCTATGGTAACGCCATCTAAAGAAGTTAAAGTGACGCTGCATCTATAGACAACGAGGCCCAATTCATTAAATTAACTAAAGTGGAATTCAAGAATGAGAAGTTTCAGTTTCCCAGTCCAAGGAATTCCTGAAATATTGAAAAAGACAACAATTTTAACAGAAGCTGTATGTAAGAGGTGACATACTACAAGATCAAAATGTTTGCTAGGGAAAGTATGTTCTTTGAAGTAGGGACTATGCTTATCTTGTTCACTGATGAATCTCTTCCACTTACCAGATTTTTAATGACTAAATGAAGACTTGCCTAAGTCACTGCATTTAGGGGAAGCAGTTCATCTAGAGATCTCTTTAGGGTTTCAGGATGTTTTCTTCACCGATGGCAAAAGTCTTCTCAAGTCATTCCAAATTTTAGTTGCACACGAGATACCCTTCTGGCTCTTTTTAAAGCACAGACATTCTCAATGTTTACCCCTGAAGATTCTGATTTGGCAAATCCTGGGGAAAGGGGGCAGGCACTGATACTGTACTGACTATGTGATTTGTTGGCAGGAAATAAACTGAGAATTTCTTTTCTCTGGTATGGTTTAGCTTTTAAAATTTTACTCTTAACCTAAAATTCATTCATGTGGAGAGTATGAGATGTCTCATCATGCAAATGTATTGAAAAGTTAAAGGCTAATATTTTCAGATTTATAGATAAAAAGAAGATCCTTTCATTAACTATTCATAGAGGCCCTGCTATGTCCAAGACGCTTAGTTTTTGAAACTTAATTGGTATCGTTGAGAATTATTTACTGCTAAAGAGATGAAAATTAAGGCTTAACTATAGAGATGCAAATTGGGGCGATGTTTGTGCTTCTCAGATGGTAGTGAGTCCACAGAAGCCAAGGGAACAAAGAAAGAAAAGAAAGCCATTCAAGGAAAACTGGCCATTGCCTACTACTCCATCTTGAGCTATCACTAAATCAAAACCTAAATCTTAGATGTCACCACAATAACATCATGAAAAATCTGTCCAACTCACATTAGTGAATTCTAAGGAATATGGATTCAAAACACTGAATGAGCAGAGAACACTAGACTAATGCCATTGATTGAGGTATTCTAGGTCTTTCTGTCTCTCACTAGGGCTTATATCCTCAAGCCAACTGCTTCATGAGAGGGGAAGAAAGAGAAAGAGAGACTCCCCAAGTAAATGAGTTTACTTCAACCATTAGAGAGCAGAAATGGGCTGCAAACATTCTACATGGAGCAAAAAGAGATAATATACATGCTAAGTCCTAGCTTTTAAGCAAGCCCCCAACCCAAAGGAAATATTATCTTTCTTTCTGTTTTTTTAAAATATGTTTTCATTGATTTTTTTTTTCTTTTTTTAGAGAGAAAAGGTAAAGATAGAAACATGGATCAGCTGCCTCCTGCACACTCCCTCCTGGGGATCGAGCCCACAACCCAGGCATATGCTCTGACTGGGAAGCAAACAGGCACCTCTCAGTCCATGGGACAACGCTCAGTCCACTTAGCTAGACCACCTGGGCAAGGAAAGATGTCCTTAATCTAGATCTGGTTGCTAACACTGGGAGTAGGGAGGTTAAGAGCCTTCAGATCTCCCTGGAAGCAATCCAGGGAGCAGAGGTAGTAATAGAATCATAAGCTGATTCACTTAAAGACTTGTTAAACATAAAAGGGATGTCTTAAAGAGTCCAAACGGGATTTGAGCAATTACATCATCCTGCTGTACAGTTAGAAATGACGACTTCCAATAGCAGAAAGATCATATCATTTCCTTTTCACCTACCTTTAAAAAAATAATTTTGTGGCTACATTGATTTCCACTGACATTGTATTTGATTGGTTCTTTTCCTTATTTTCACCCTGCTTAATTTAATGTGTCTTACTAAAAAATAAAACTGGATTGCATACAATAAAGATAAAAGTGAGAAAAAAAAGTAAAAAAAAAATATAACTAGAAATTAGATTAAAAATTCATACTATAACCTATAGCTTTGGGAGGTATGCAACACAAGTTTGAGTGTAAGCTTTCTAAAATTCAAACTATATATAATTACATAATATTTATTTTTAATAAATGAAGGGGAAGCCAATGGTCCATGGAGGTAAACATTACTTTTGGTGATAAGATCAGTAAAGAAGAACTTCTTCTTAGTGTTCTCATAAAGAATGAAACATATCCTGAATAGTTTCAGAATTGACCATTTACAGGCTCAAAAGGGATTTTTTTATTTTCCTATTTATAGTACATCCGAATGACCAATGTCATTACACTAGTGTGTGCCTTTAAACATATGATGAAGTTCAGAAAATCAGATGTTTGTTTTTCTGGATGAATGATGTGGTAAACCTTGGAACAGTGATAGGAATGGATAGACTCCCTATCTCTCAGGCAATCTAAAATGTTTTTTAATAGATATTTGGTGATTTTTATCAAGTTTGAGTTCAGAGTAAGTCCATTTGATTTATCTTTACCACATGTTTGTGGGAAATGTTAAGAATCCAATTTGTGTAAGAAAGATCTTCTAATAAATTACAGATTTTTTCCCCTGGCATGTGTTCATTTTAGGTCTATCATCACTCTCCACATGTTAACATATAACTAACTACTGTAATTTGTCTCCAAAGAACTCTGAATTCAACAAGAAACTCTAATTTAATGTGAAGTAGGTGTAGTTTGGTCTCTAAGAGCCAAAATCTTATTTAAAAGATTAAAAAACAAAACACCTATGGGGGAGAGGACACACTTTAGATTTCACTTCTTCTGATATTAATTGGGGAACTGGGAACATGTAATTAATTAATTAATATATTTTTGGTACGTGCCCCTAGTGGAAACTGAACCCCGGACTCTCTGGTCCGCAGGCCAATGTTCCAACCGCTGAGCCAAACCGGCCAGGGCTGGGAACGTGTTATTTAAATTCAGCAGTCTTCTCTTTCCTCTTCTTTAAAATAGAAAAATTAAAAATTATTGCCAAGTCTTCGAGACAACAGTTCATGAGCACTTAGCCAACGCAAGCCTAGAATATAGCAGAGACCCACAACACTTCACTTTCTTTCCTCCCTGAAGGACGGGAAACCATTACGGCAGGCATATTTATTTGAATGCCAGGGAAACAGGAGATTAAAATATGTGATCTTTTCTCTTTGGTTGGATGAAGTATTTCTTTTATGATTTTGTTCAAAAAACCGAGCTTGCCATTTACTGGGCACTTGCTAATCACTGAAGCTAAAAACAACGAATAAATGAATAAACAACGTTTACCCTGTGAGAGGTCACAGCTTATTCAAAGAGACAGATAACTAAACTAATAATTAATATTCAGTAAGAGAGCTAAGATTCTAGGGATATTGGTTCGCAGGAAGGATGGTGGTAACTGAATGTGTATTGTCTAATATCAAGGCACAGGGTGATTTCTAGATGTGGCCAAATGGCTGATAGCCAAGAATCTGCGTAAGAAAGCATTTACCTTAAAGACCTATTTTTCTCCAGGATTTCACTGCCAGATTTGTATACTCGGAAATTCTGAGACCTACAGTTGGCGAGTTTTGGGATTCTGTCTAGTTGGCCAATGGATGATTGAAACCACATTGCTCAGCCTTAAAAATTCACAATAATTGTACAGCACGTTTTCTCGTAGATAATCATCACTGAAAGTCAAAACATCAGATTGCTTGACCAGTATCATATCCATACAGGTCAATTTATTTACGTAACTCAAATGTGTTGTTATGAGTCTCTGATAGTCTGACGGGGATGCCCATTCATTCCTGGAGACTAGGCAGTGGACAGTAGGCCCAACAGAGCATCCGCCCCTATCGACCGTGCATAGAAAATCCAATGTTTCCTCTGAGATCTGTTCTTTTCTTTGCTTCCATTGTAGACCAACCAACTCCTTTCTGACTGATGTATTCTTTCCTTAAATGGGTTAACATCATCAATTAGCTATTAAGTTAACCAACTCTACCACCCTTTATTTTTCCTGTGACAGAGAGTGACTGCTTTCTTTGGAGATCATGTAATGCCTTTCACCTTCATGGATTACTTTTTGTTTTCTTTACAGGTATATGTCAACGTTATATTCTCACCCTGATTTCCCAGAGAAAGGGCCAGAGGAGATTAATGAAGAGCTAATGAAAAACGTTAGCCACAACCCTCTCTTACTCCTCACACCGCAGAAGGTTAAAAGATATGTTGAGTCTTTATGGAAGAAGAAAAGGTCTGGACAGCCTGTCACCTTTACTGATATCTTCGGGATGTTAATAGGAGAAACACTAATTCACAATGTAAGCTATGGCTCAATCTACAATTCTTTGAATGCAATAGACCATGTATATCATAATGTTCTAAATAAAATATAATGATCTATATTGTAAAAGTCACTTGGTTCAACTTATCAACACTGTGTCCTGAGAGCGCATCATTTCTGCCGGATAGAACTCTCCTACCTTTCACTCTGGAGCTTACTAGCTCATTCTAATTGTGTATCAGTTTTGTTGTAGCAAGGACTTGGGTATTTCTTTTCTTTGAGAAAAATACACCTCTTAACTCTTAACTGCCCACTTCTCCAAGTGGCAATCTTTTTAGATAAGGAAGAGAATGCAAGAGGGAAATGGAGGTGGCTTGGACAGAGTCAGAAAACACAATCATGTGGGACAAACTCATTTGACACATGACCACAGTGTGACATTCATCGGAAGATGAAGCAGGGGAGACAGAGTCTGTGCCAGGGAACAGGGAGCTTAGTTCCTTTTGCTTCCATAGCTGTGAAGTCTTTCTGCACTTCAAAGGGAGACACACGGTTCCATGAGATCTGGTTGTTTTTAGAATGAAGGCAACTGCTTTCATGGAGCTCACTGTTTTCTGGTTTATTCAGGACCCAGAGGTTTCTAGAACTAATAAGATTTATTTTTATTATAAAAAATTTAAGTGTCTTGATTGGAAGTACTATTTTTTTTTTACATTTTTTTCTTTATTGATTTTAGAGAGAGAGGAAATGAGAGGGAGAGATGAGAGAGAACAGCGGCTGGCCACCTCCTGCATGCCCCCCACTGGTGAATTTCCCCACACCCTGGGCCTGTGCCCTGACCCGGAATTGAACTGGCGACCACCGTCTGGGCGGAAGTACTATTTTAAATAGTTTTCTACCTGTATCTGTTGTATATTCAAAACCATTTCTTTCTTTCTTCTGTGGACAGAGAATGAACATAACCTTGAGTAGCTTGAAGGAAAAGGTCAATACGGCCCGATGCCCTTTGCCTCTTTTCACCTGTCTCCACGTCAAGCCCGACGTTTCAGAGCTGATGTTTGCAGGTAACTTTCTCTTCCAGAACATTTCCTGGAACCTCTGAGCTGCAGCTTCCCACGGTTTTCTTGAGAGAAAGCCATTTCCGTTGCTTCTTTTAATACATTTTCTATAACATAAAAACATTTGAAAATATGAAGCTAGATGCTTTTCTGGTTGTAAAGAATATTCCAGGAAACTAGTTACTAATAATGTATCTTTATTGATATTAGGGAACTAAAAAATAAATTATAAAAAATAAATCACGAATATAATCTATAACTCAATTTTAATTACTCATTTCTCAAAGACTTTCAACAAGATAGGATGCCGGTGCTTTCGGGAAGTGCATATTCTCTCGCTTGCTGCTGCTATTTCTATCAACGGAGGCAAAATATGATACATGTTTATGACGCAATGTACTATTCTAATTTTTATAATTCAGCACCTGAAAAGTCCTAGTCTGTACTTGTGGCAGCTGGTAAATGAAATGCCTCCTTTTGGGAGGTCTCAGAAGTAAGCACTCATTTGTTCTATAGCTTCGGGTCCCACTGTGTGCTCTGAAATTTTGTGACATAGCCTGGGGACCTCTGTCCGTTCTACTCAGCAACGTGAAGTCAGTTCTGAATGTGGCTGGTAAGGTGCATTGTATTTCTAGGAAAAGTATCTTGGTGACATCAGTCACACAGTGAGCTTTAAAAAAAAATCCCTGTGAATGGCTTGTAATGAACAAATTCATATCCAGAATCCTTTTGCAGTTTTATCGATTCTTACTTTTTTGTCCTCAATGGACTACTCTGAGGCAAGAATTTCTAGTAGTTTAATAAAAAGTAGTGTACCTGGAATTTATGTATTTAACCAGTGTTTATCAAGTATGTTGATTAGAATGTTTATCATGCTTATGGTCCAAAAAGCACTTTTATTTATTGTCTTATTCAACTCAAAATATAGAGAGGGAGAGATTTTTAGCTATACTTCACAAGAGAAAATAATAAAATGTCAGAAAGATGAAATGATTTGCATATTTCCTCATAAAATGTAAATAGCAGAGCTGATAAAAATATTGCCTGCTTTGATTACTGAGCACATAGAACACAGTGTGCCTGGGCTAAGCCAGGATTCCCCTCCCCCACTACAATGCATTGTCCTGTTTTGTATGACCTTAGAATCTGCTTGGGAAATTTACAATAATTATTTAAAAAGTTAAGTCACAAGAAAGAACAGAATGTTACTATGCATTGTTCCCTTGACTAAGTTACATAACATCTTTTAGAATCAGTTTCCTCATCCGTTAAATAAGGATGAGACTGTCCTCATAGTGTTTTGCTAAATAAATGAGATAAAGCATGCAACGTAAATGCTAACAAGTTAGGGTGTTCTATGAAATCTGTATGACAAAAGTCAGAGGTCTACCTTTGGATTTGTGTATGGAAGAAATTGAATTATTGTTGGGGGTCAGGCATGCAGTAGGAGTCTTGGGTAATGATGGTGTGCTCAGCCACCATAAAGAACTACACCTTGACTGCAAAGGAATTCTTAGGGAGAGTGAAGATTTTTATCATATAAAAAAGTAAGTGTCATGATGAAATTGGTTTTTTGTTGTTTTGTTTTTTGTTTTCCCATAGCTGTTGTCTGTGAGATCTTATAATGGTTGGAAATTGGCTAATAAATACCACTAGCATGCTAGTCAAAAGTATACATAGCTATGCCCGGCCCGTGTGGCTCACTGGTTGAGCATCAACCCATGCACCAAGAGGTTGCTGGTTCGATTCCCAGGCAGGACACACGCCCAGGTTGTGGGCCTGATCCCCAGTGCAGGGAATGCAGGAGGCGGTCAATCAATGTCCTCTCTCATCGATGTTTCTGTCTCTCTCTCCCTCTCCCTTCCTCTCTCTCTACGACCAATAAAGAAAAAAAAATGTATGCATAGCCAGATGAACCATCTGTTACCCTAGTAGCATGATGATATGGTCAAACAAGCACTACTCTAATTTGGAACTCTTGTCTTTTGCCCTCTAAGCTACAGTAACTTGGGCAGGTCATTTAACGTCTCTGATTCTTATTCTCCTCATTATATAAAATAAAAATTATCCTACAGAGCCCTGTGACAATTCCATGAGATACGCATGTGACTGAATATGATAAAAAGCATAGAAGTATAAGAGTTTAATTACTATTGTTGTGATTGTTATGATTTCACAGTCTTTTTATTCTGAACTTTTGTTAGCAGCCATTTTCAACAGAGTCTGATTAAAATAATTAAAGTATTAATTATATTTCAGCACGTGAATATTTGCGATTTTTTTTTACCTAGAATGAGAAAAGGCTGTTTTATGTTTGGTTAGTAGTCTTAGGACCTAGTTATGTCTAATTCGGGCCATCTGCCTAACTGCAATGTTTTTACTGAGATAAAAAATACATTATTAACCTTCATTGTTAAGCGTGTGTGATAAGGAGTTCAAGCTGTTTCTTTCAACAGAGCTGGACAAAGCCATCAAACATTTGTTATGTGGATCTTGTACCCAAATAAGACAATGCAAGATGCAAGTTGTAAGGGTTTAAGTAGCTTAAATTATTGAGAAAAGAAAAGGTTGACATATTTCTATACTTTATGCCTTTGAAAATTTCTTAAATTAAAAATAGATATTCAGCCTTGGCCCATTTGGCTCAACAGTTAGAGCATCGGCCCATAGACCAAAGGGTCCAGGGTTCGATTCTCAGTCAAGGGCACATACCTTGGTTGCAGGTTCGATCCCCACCCCAGTCTGGGTCATCCGGGAGACAGCCTATAAATGTGTCTCTCTCACATCGATGTTTCTCTCTTTCTCTCTCTCCCTCCCTCCCTTCCCTTATATCTAAAAGTCAATGAAAAAATATCCTCGGGTGAAGATTAACAACAACAAAAATATGGATATTCAAGGGGAAAGAGTTGAAAGAATTGAATTATATTTTTAAAAGTCAAAGAACCATATTAGCTTACAGAAGTGTTATCATCAACTCTACTTCAACAATATCAGAGAATGTTTTTCTTCCCTCTTAGAATAGTTTTAAACATTTCTACTTTTGAAGATTTTACATAAATAAACATGAGTTGTTTAAACTGTTAAATATTTTTGACTTTCCACTATTTAAATATTTTAAATATTTCCTCACTTCACTACATTGCTGGCAGTGTTTAAAACTTTCATTTTCAAATATTCATTGGTCAGTAAATTGCATTTACTGAACACAATTCGTGGACTCAGCATCAGGTTAAGTTCTTTGACAGACACTGAAGGAGTAAAACTGTGCTTCTCTTCCTCAGAAAGCTACAATCCCATTAACAAGACAAAAATGACATATATAAATCAATGAGCCAGACACATAGAATATTATTGCCCATTAAAACGTGTAGAGCTGACATTAAGTGTAAGTTATCAAAGATATTTGGCATAATCATAAGAATGACTTCATGGAAGGCTCTATCACGCGAAGGTGAAAATGCTTAGAAGGGAAGCCAAAGGTATGCGTTGGGGAGCAATAAAAAAAATCACTAGCTGTGGTATTAAGCATAGGTGGTATATTTGGGAAAACCATTAGTGTTGAGCAATAGAAAAATCTGAATTCCAGACAGAAATGTTTTTATTCAATTATTATGATGATGGGGAATAGTGCTTTTCGGGAGGGCAGAACAATCTTTAAGTAGTGCTTTTTTTTTTTTTTTTTTGATATTTTGTTCAGATAGAGTGGGAAGGAGAGAGAGAGAGAGAAAAACATCGATGTGAAAGGAACACATCGAGTGGCTGCCACCCACACGACCCAACCAGGGCCGGGGACAAACCGCAACCGAGGTACATGCCCTTAGCGGGAACCGAACCCGGGGACTCTCCAGACCGCAGGCCGACGCTCTAACCGCTGAGCCAAACCGCCAGGGCGAGTAGTGCTTTTGAAAACTATCTTTTGGTGATTCATATGGGTCTTTTGGCAAGGAAAGAAACTGGGAACCATGACGTCACTGTGTTTTTATAATAAGGTCCCAGAACTAGGGAGAGACTGATAAGGAAAGAGAGAAGATAAACGGGAAAAGCCTAAAGGTTACTGGTGAGATGCGCTGGTGATTTGATATGAGTGGTTTCAGTTAAAAGAATTAATTTTTTCTGGGCTGTGATACCGTGGTTTGCCGAAAAGGGTAAGCCAGACTGGGAGGAGAAGCGATGGATTCCTTTCTAGGCGATGATAGTGGGATATGATGACCATGTATCTAAGCGCAGTAGGAAGTTGGAAATAGGTAGGTAGGTGCAGCAGAAAAGTTCAAGTTTGAAATGTACGAGTTAACAGCAAAGGAATCATAGCCAAATACCACCATGGCAAGTTCCTCAGTGAGCTTTAGACAGCAAGTCTTCACTCTTGAGGAAGTCTCTAATGATCATGGGCTCAAGCCAGGGCATTAATAAAGAGCAGATTGCTAGAGAAATAGGAACGAGGAAAATATTTTGCATCAGTACCCAAGACAGGGGTGTGGAATTCAGAGATAGGAAATTACTCATAGTGATACAGAAACCTTTCTAACAGTCCCTGATTCATCGCTAGTCGTGTCTCTACGTAAATCACTGTAGAACACATTACTATCTGATGAAGGGTATACGCGCCACGGGCCTTGATTGGAAATGAATTATAAATGTGTTCTCATCACAATTGAGATTTCATTACCTTTTTCACAGAAGTAGAATGTTCACTGAGTAAATAATAAATATACATCCACAATTCCTTTTCCAATATTTCGGGGACAGATGTTTTGGATTCAGAATATTTTCTTTTAAAGTTTAAGAAATACTTAGACTGTAAATCGCATACTATTCCCACTGGGGTCATGTAGTTAAATAGAGTGATTTCTCCAGTAGAATGTATTAATATTTACATTGAGCTGGATAAGTAAAGATTCAGCTTCACATCATTTCAAGACTATTTTATTTTTTTTTTTGAAGAATAAATTCACGTCAGGTTTTACTACTGAAATCACTAGCAAAAATCCCCGTGGATTTTGGAGTAATTTGGATTTGGGATTGTTGGGTGAGGCATATATAGACATGTTATAATTTCAGAAAGGGAAAATGGATTGGTTATACCGGGGTGGATGGTGGTGGGACTTGAATGGAGGATGGTCAACCAAGACCTTGAACTAGAGGTGAGTAAGAAGCAGCCTTAGAACTGCAGAAGGGCACGGCGAGCAGGAAGGATTGAGGTGGGAATGAGCTGGGTCTGTGTGAGGAACGTCAACGTGATAGGAGATTGGCCAGGGTGCGTGGTCAGACGGAGCGGGAGCCAGCCCATCACGAGGACTTGTCAGCCACGTTTTTATTTCAGTGTCATGGGAAGTCATCGGAAAGCTCTTAGCTGGTATTAGTGTGCTGTGACTTATATTTTTAAACATCCAGTCTGGCTACAGAGCATCAAAAAGAGAGTAAGGGAATGGAGAAGAGATGTTTTTGGAGGCTGCTGTGGAGGCCCAAGGGTTGGACCAGAATGGTTGTGGTGGACAAATAGATAAGTAGCCCGTTTCTAACCGTATCTGATGATAGAGCCTCAGGACTTGATATTGCGTATGTGAAACGTAAGGGACAGAGAACAATCGAGGGTAGTTTTAAAGAACGACTGGTGGTGAGAACATGTGAAAAGTAGTACTACCTCCCAGGAAGGTGGACGAGAGAGACGCAGGTGCAGGAGTGGGAGTCAGACACCCGGGCCTCTTTTTTGATAAATTATGATACAGACAATAATTGGACGTATTATAGCCGTGGACATACAGGAAGTATAATATAGCTAGCATTTATTTAATGATCAAAATGTGCTACACCTTCTGAGCTCTTCACATTTCCTAACTCATTAGAACCTCAGAATCATTCTACAAACTACTAATTGTATTCACATTTTACAGATTAGGGAACTAAAACACAGGGAACACAAGTAATCTACCCAGGGTTGCACAGTTAGTAAGCAGCGGGATAGGATTTGAACCCAGGGCTCTGGCTCCAGAACCTCGGCTCGTAGAAAGTCTACTCTGTTGATCCTATTACCTTGTGTTTCTTGAGACAGTCAGCATAGAAACTTGGCATGGCAATCTTGTGAGTTAGAATAATGGTTAATAAGCAAAATGGAAAAAAGATGAAGAGAAGGCAAATGTTAGAAACATTTTCTTCCACTCTAATCAGAAAGACTTTTCTTTCTTCTGTCTCCTTCATGGATTTTAAGTTTGAGACTGCAGTTTTTAGTTTTCCACTCTTTAGAATGAAGATGGATTAATAAAAGAGGTCTGAGTTTTTAAATGCAAAGGGTATTCAATTAGTGCAGATTGGAAGGGATTCTTTTGTGTTCTCATCTTATTCATCTACAAGTTCCCTGCTTCCAACAATGCCATATACATAATAGGCACTTGGTTAATTTTTTAGAAAGTATTTTACTTATTTATGTTTTTAAATCCTCACCCGAGGATATTTTTCCATTTATCTTCAGATAGAGTGAGAGGTGGGGGAGAGAGAGAGAAAGCATGAGAAAGACACATTGATTGGTTGCCTCCCACACAAATTACAGCCCAGGTACATGCCCTTGACCAGAATCGAACCCGTGACTCTTTGGTCCGCAGGCCGATGCTCTGACTGCTGAGCCAAACCGGCCAGGGCTAAAGAGTATTTTAAATAAATGAATGAGGATAGTCATGGCACTGTTGAAGTAATCTTTGTGCACATTTTTATAATATTTTCTATTAATGGATTGACTTTTTTTTTTTTAATGCTTTTAGATTGGGTCGAATTTACTCCATATGAGATCGGCATGGCTAAGTATGGCACTTTCATGACTCCTGACTTATTTGGAAGCAAATTTTTTATGGGAAAAGTGGTAAAGAAATATGAAGAAAACCCCTTGCATTTCTTAATGGGTAAGTGATCCAAAGCGACCACTAAGTGTGTCTGTTGTCGGTCGTGGCGCATCCTGAGCTATTCTCTGTGCTTTATCTTAGGTGTCTGGGGCAGCGCCTTTTCTATATTGTTCAACAGAGTCTTGGGAGTTTCCAGCTCACAGAACAAAGGTTCCACGATGGAGGAAGAATTAGGTATTGTAAAAACATGCTGACATTGATAATAACTATGGCACATCGTTAAATTCACTAACATGTATATGTAGAGAAAATTAAATCATCATAAAAATTGTAATTGGTCTAAAGTTATCAGTAACTTGGTTGAATCAGCCTAAATACTTCCTAGGAATAATATGTATATTATCCAGCGACAGAGCCACATTCTCCAGGGGTAACAGCAAGGCAGTGTATGCTGCTGAAATGCTCTGACTCCATGTCTTTAAATGAACATTATATCCCAGATCTTACCAGCTCTGATCTTGTGGAAATAACTAGCTCTTCCCTGAATTATGTGAAGACCTCAGAAGAGAAAAGAATCAAAGCACCACGTGTTAGGGGCTTGCTTCTCTGTACACCTTCTCTGTTGAATAATCCAGATAAACCTAGGGTTTGTTATTTTTTCCCTCCTAAGGCAGGAAGAGAATAGAACTGAAATAACATGTCTCAGGTCGGGGAGACGATGGCTGGAGGCCAAGGAAAAGGAGAATGTTTATACTAAATCATCCCGGGAATATTTGTTGGTGTGAGGCGTCCCCTCTAAGACCGGAGGCTGGGCAGTTTATTTATTTGTTCTGCGGGTCAGACTTAGGGGGATATTGTGAACTTAAGGAGAACCCTGGTCAGCAGGATGCCTGTTACCTCAGATTAGAGAAGGTTTTCCAGAAATGAGACCAGAGAGGTGACAAGAGCAATTGGAAGACTTCTGGGGACTCTTTCATCTGCGGGCCAACCAAAGTAGACTTCTGAAGGGGGTGTTTAGAGGTGGGGTTTTCCCCCCTCTCCCTTCTGAAGGAAGATTAAAGGTAAATTGGACCACAGTCAGATACAGTAAAATGAAATAGATAAATTCAGCCCGGCTGGTGTAGCTCAGTAGTTGAGCATTGACCCATGCACCAAAAGGTCGCCAGTTCGATTCCCGGTCAGGGCACATGCCCAGGTTGTGGGCCTGATCCCCAGTGGGGGGCATGCAGGAGGCGGCCAATTGGTGCTCTCTCTCATCAATATTTCTCTCTCTCTCTCCCATTCCCTTCTTCTCTCTCTAAAATCAATAAAGAAAGAAAATAGATAAATTCAGAATATTTAGCTATTTATATCATGAAAACTTCCTTATGAAGAAGGCAGTATTTTGATGAACCATCTTCTTAAATGAGAGTATGAAATATGACCCCCCAAAAATGCTTAAAGAAAGAAAACCTTGTCTTGCCAAAAAGACACCTACTGCATAAGCACCCAGCGTGGACCATTCTTAACATGCCCCCTGCTCTCTGACCACAAAATTTCTTTCTGTCACAGTCATGAAATGAAATGAACGATAGTACTAGCCAGTGAATATTTTCCTTTATTGAATTTTATATGTGTAATCATGCCAGTAAAATAAAGAAATCTAAAACTTAAGAAGTCAGTCTGTTGCTTCAAGCATTTGTGAGCCCTTCCTTCATATAATCCAGATCACTTGCGTACATGACGTCTAGGTAGCGTAGAAACATGTGCAGAGTGATGTGGAAAACCTAACGCTACCCCTGTATTCTCTAAGCTGGAAGCCCCCAAAATGATGCTATTGCTAGAAATGATGAATTTGGAGTCAGTTTCTTAAAATAAAATAAAAAGTTTATTGACAAATAGAAGAAAACATGAGTTACTATACAGACAGTGGCTTTATGTAAGTGGCCAAAGGAGGCTTGATTTTTCTGTAAATGATGATTATAAAGAATGGTCTGTGTACTCATAATTTCGGTACTTTTTACTTGAAAAAAAAAAAACAGCTGGTTATTGTGCTATGTTTTACTCCCATGGTTGCTTTAAGGATTTGTGGTTTCTATTTTAGTTTTTAAAACGACTCTCTTGCCCTGGCTGGTTTTCTCAGTGGTTAGAGCACCAGCCTGTGGACCAGAGAGTCCCGGGTTCGGTTCCTGCTAAGGGCACGTACCTCAGTTGCAGTTTGTCCCAGCCCCGGTTGGGGTCATGTGGGTGGCAGCCAGTCGATGTGTCTCTCTCACATTGATGTTTCTCTCTCTCTCTTCCCCCATCTCTCCCTCCTGCTCTATCTCGCTCTATCTGAAGATAAATGAAAAAAAAAAAGTCCTCAGGTGAGGATTAAAAAACAAAACAAAACATTGTTCTCTTAATATGTTTTGAAGAAGCACAGATTCTTAATACAAAAGGTACATTTCAACAGACAGTTTTCAATGTTATTGGAAAGCAAAACATACCTTCTATTAGTGGCCTTCTATTTATTTTGATGAAGCGGCTCTGTAATCCCAGTGTAGGTTTTGTTTTTTACCCTGCATTTACCTTCATAAATGCCACTTAAGCATATTTAATTGAAGAAAAATAATATTTTTGTATAATGAGAAGCTTCCTATAATCAAGTTATTCTTCCTGTCAGAATTAAGATAAACAAAACATTTTCCCTTTAAATCATGAATGAATAAATTTTGAACTAAATTCTCATGTCCCGGGAAATTTTATTTTCCAATGAAAAATTGATCTAAATTGATACTAGTAATTGATCTAAATTGATGCTAAATGATCTAAATTTAGATCATTGATGTTAATTTAGATCAATTACTAATTGATCTAAATCGATACTAGTAATTGATCTAAATCGATACTAGTAATCTAGTAGATCTCACTCTGGTTTTGCTGAGGTTACTTCCATAAAGTAAATTTAATTGTGAGTCCTGACACCTGAGACCCTTCAATCGCTTCATTTTCTTTCCACAGAAAATATTACAGCAAAGCATATTGTGAGTAATGACAGCTCGGACAGCGATGACGAGTCACAAGGACCCAAAGGTAAGAGAACCGGAACCTTCTCTGGCAGGAGCCCGTGGGAAGGGATGGAGCGTTTCCTCTGATCTGTCTCTCCCGGTGGTCCGGTCGCCTCTGCTCAGGGCACCGGGTCATAGCGCAGCAGCTCTCGACTCAGAGGGAAGGGGTGTCTGTGTACAGTCTGCAGCGCAGAAGTGACCCTCCCTTCTCTCCTTTCTAATACCTCAAAAATATCATCAGTGAGGAAATGGAGAACAAGCTGAAATGTTAGAAATTCCCAATTCTGATTCTCGCACCAGCACGGAATTGCGGTTTGGGAGCATTTTCACATGGCTTTAAAAAACAGAACATTTCATCTTTAAGACATGTATTATTAAGTAACGTGAAAAACTGTGTTCTCACTCCATTCCTGAGCCTTTCTCCCGTTGCCAATTCCATTTCTCGTGCAGATGGTCTAGCTACGTGGACTGAGCGTTGTCCCGTGGACTGAGCGTTGTCCCATGACTGAGCGTTGTCCCATGGACTGAGCGTTGTCCCATGACTGAGCGTTGTCCCATGGACTGAGCGTTGTCCCGTGGACTGAGCGTTGTCCCATGACTGAGCGTTGTCCCGTGGACTGAGCGTTGTCCCGTGGACTGAGCGTTATCCCATGACTGAGCGTTGTCCCATGGACTGAGCGTTGTCCCATGACTGAGCGTTGTCCCGTGGACTGAGCGTTGTCCCATGACTGAGCGTTGTCCCGTGGACTGAGCATTGTCCCGTGGACTGAGCATTGTCCCATGACTGAGCGTTGTCCTGTGGACTGAGAGTTGCATCACGGAGACCTTTTCGTTGTGTTATTTTGTGGTATACAGGAGTTCCTTTACATTTTGATAAGACAGCTCTGAGCTTGGTGGGGATCAGGACAGTAAGCGATGGAGTCAGGACAGGGATAAAACAAGGATTAGGCGTATCTATTGCAAATATAGTAAGAGGAGTGATTTTACATTTTGACAGTGTTTGACATAACATTTGTACAAAGGTTCCCAATAGTAGAAAAACATAAACAAATAAACCAAAGTTAAACAGATTTTATAACAACTGGGTGAACACATCCTATTACAGTTTGAATACAGATTTTAGAAGATATCAAGTGCTTTCTTGCCCGTCTGGTGTGGCTCAGTGGTTGAGTGTTGACCCAGGCACCAAGAGGTCGCTGGTTTGATTCCCGGTCAGGGCACATGCCCAGGTTGTGGGCCCGATCCCCAGTGAGGTGGCCAGACGATGTTCTCTCTGTCATCAATGTTTCTATCTCTCTGTCCCTCTCCTTTCTTCTCTCTCTAAAATCAATAAAGAAAAAAAATCTTAAGAAAAGGAAGATATTCCGTGCTTTCTGGATCCAAACTAACAAATTCCACCTGCCATGTTATACGTATCAGAAGAGCGTGTTTTATCCCTGCTGAATGAACACTAACATGAAAATTCTCTTCTCATAACTGGGCTGGTACTTCCTCATAAGATGATTCTGTGTGGATTAGAGGTACCTTCTCTGGGAAATGCAGCTACACAGGCCTCTGGCCTGGTCAGTGTGCAGCTTCTTGTGAAAATGTGAAGAAGGGACCTTCTTTGGGCAGACGAGGCTCTTGACCAGGCACATGGCCGGTGGCATCCAAGCTGGGCTTCAGTCCCTCTTTGCCCACTGTCCTACAGCGCTGCATAGCCAGTAACTTGCCTCAGTGCATATTGCTATATATATTTGCATCACTAGGCAGAAACCCCAAAAGAACCCTGCCCTGGAAGAAACTGGGTCTAAATTCTGCTCATTTATATTTGTAATTTTAATTATTTTGGTTGTTCGGGTCTTTTTTTAAATTTCGAATTTCCTGCTAGTGAAGGGAGCTAGCCAGTACAGAGGAGATTAAGAACCTCTGCCTAGCACTCGCTGATGACACCTGACGTAAGCTTTGTACGTGCTTACTCGCTTTGTTCTCTAGTAAGGTTTTTGCCTGTTTTATCATTGGGGTGTTTGATTTCTTATTCTTGAGCTTTAACCTGTTAACCGGGGAATAACCGGGGAATTCCCTTTTCACTGTACGCAACGTTTGATGTATTTATACGTTCCGCTTGGTTAACAGGTTGAGAATTCTTTGTATATTTTGGATAACAGTCCTTTTGCAGATGTATGTTTTGAAATATTTTCTTTCACTCAATGGCTTGTCTTTTCATTCCCTTGAATTTCTTTCATTTTTATTTATATGATTTTGAGCAGGGGCTTTAGGCAGTTTTCAACTTTAGTGTCTTCAAATCTATGCGGGTGTCATTTTACCTGCTCTCATGGAATTGTTGTAACCATCAGATTAGAAAATGCATTCAAAGGGCTTTAAGTTGTAAAAGGCAGCAAATAGAAATTTACTGTTAGTATTATAGCTAATAAGCCATTGAGAGCATTTATCTGTTGACTTCTGGGTTCGCCCCACAAATGATGCCATTTCCAAATATATCACAAGGAAAGAGATCCTCTGGTCTTACAAAAGTGGGGGTTATTTCATAAATATAATAATAGTGATGATGCTGATCTGGAAAATAATTGAATATCTTATTCATATCCTGTGTATCTGGAGATATAAATAATTACTTTTAAAGCCTGACTTGGTCTTGCAAGAGATTGTCTTGGTCAGATTTGGCATTAGAAAAATGTAGGCATAGAAAAGAGTGTGTTTATTCTTTTGAGATTATGTTGTCACCTGGATTAGTTCATGAAAGAAAGGTCATTCCATTTACTTAGCAGAGTTAAGCTAATCTTGGTGAATATAAAAATCTGTATTTATGCCCAGCCGATGTGGCTCAGTGGTTGAGCACTGACTCACGGACCAAGAGATCCCGGTCTGGTTCCCGGTCAGGGCACATGCCCAGGTCGCGGGCTCGATCCCCAGTGCGGGGTGTGGAGGAGGTGGCCAGTCGATGTTCTCTCTCATCGATGTTCCTGTCTCTCTCTCCCTCTCCCTTCCTCTGTCTAAAAATCAATAAAAACATATTTAAAAAATATTAGTATTTATTATGTTTTATGTGTGTTAACATTTATTGGAAATTAAGAAGTTTGAACATAGATTCTCTTTTCTCACACATACAGTTTTATGTACATTTATATTCAGAGTTCCCAGAAATTCGAACAGAAGGGGTTTAATCACACTCTACCATATAGGGTTCTCAGATTTGGATTATTAATAAATAATATTAATAGTGATAGTTATTATACTGCCTCTGCTGCTACTACCACTATCTCTGCCTCTGAATAGTGTTTATTAAAATTTTACTACGGGGCCAGGCACTTTTCTAAGGGATTTACATGAATGCACTAACTCAGTTCATCCTCACAACAACCCTGCGAAGTTTACTGTTGAGGAAATGAGGCTGAGGAGGGTTAACTGAGTGGTAAACGGGAGAGAGGACCGGAAGCAGGCAGCCTGCCCGCGGAGCCCTTGCTCTGATACCTACCGGCCCAGCTGCCCGTGGCGGTGGTGTGTGCATAGGCTTGTAAGGAAAAGTCACCGAAGACTGCTTCTTTGGGAAGACTGCTGAATTTTAGAACATGTTCAAGTATGTGTTTTGATTGTAGGGTTTTAAAACCCAAACTCTTTAAGTGGGAATGAAATGCCAGTTTATAGGGTGTTTATTGAGCAGGAAATGCATGTTGAGTCCTTCAGTCGTCTGTTCTCAGTTTGCATGATTTCTGGAAGTTTACTAAACAGGATAGAGAAGGAAACTTAAGAAATGAAAGGATAGGATTAGGCACTGTGGATTTTCCCTGTGTGTGTGTGTGTTTGTGTTTATTTGTGTTTGTGTAAATAAGGCAAAGGAAGAAAAAGACCGGGGAGAAAGCAGAAAACAAAAGTTTGCCTGGAAATCTAAGAATAGACCAAGTGACATTGTCAACAGTACAATCTTAGACTAACTCTTTGGTAAAGGGTGACACAAAACCAGTTTGAAGGCAAAAATGGTTAACTGAGATATTGACTTTGAGATATTTATTAATTTATGTCAATAAACACTTGTTAACTCAAAAGCCATAGAGCCTCGTTGTTAGTCTTCACATCCAATTGCCCAAAGATCTGTTTCTTAAAGTGAATTTTGAAACCTGCATCATGATGTGTTCTTTTCCCTTAGGCACTGAAAACGAAGATGCTGAAGAGGAATATCAAAACGATAATCAAGCGAGTTGGGTCCATCGCATGATAATGGCCCTGATGAGTGACTCAACTTTATTCAATACCAGAGAAGGACGGGCTGGGAAGGTGCACAACTTCATGCTGGGCTTGAATCTCAATACCTCGTATCCGCTGTCTCCGTTCAGAGACTTTAACACGCAGGAGTCCTTGGATGAAGATGAACTGGATGCAGCTGTGACAGGTATGGACCGGAAACGCAATCCGAGGGAGCTAATTCAGGGTCTTTCTTCCTTCTCTGGGAGAAGGATTTCACTTATTACTATCACTTATCCATTTATACTCAATTTCAAAAACGTGTGTTTAATCTGTATTGGACTTCCAATTACTGTTTGTGTGTGTGGGGGGGAATACACTGGACAGGAAGGAGCACAGTCGTGTCAGCACAGAGCATTTTCATTGAAATACTGAGCGGGACCTTGGAGCCTCTCTGGACCGGTCAGGTTTCACCCACAGGAAACAGGAACCTACTCTCTTGTTAAACTGAAAGGGGTTTAAAGCAGGAAATTAGGTGTTTACTAAATTGTTCCAAGGCTTGGAGGGGTAAGCTCCAGACTGAGCTTCCAAAACTGTTTTCAAGAACACTTCAGAATCACCCCGGCTTGGCCAGTGCTGAGTTTATTCAAATTTATTATTTACAGACCAACATCGCTGGAAATGATGGAAGGGGATTTGACTGGGTGGTGACACAATGCAATGCGCAGATATGTATCATAAAGTTGTGTGCTTGAAACCTATATAATTCTACTCACCAGAGTCGCCCCAATAAATTTAATAATGATTCCTATGGTCCGGCCTGTGTGGCTTAGTGGTTGAGCGTTGACCCATGCACCAAGACGTCACCAGTTCAATTCCTGGTTAGGGCACATGCCCAGGTTGTGGGCCCGATCCCCAGAGGGGGGGCATGCAGGAGGTGGCCAGTCGATGTTCTCTCTCGTTGAGGTTTCTAGCTCCCTCTCCTTCTCTCTTCCTCTCTCTCTAAAAACCAATAAAGAAAAAAAAATTAACAAAATAATTCTTACATTGTTTAAAAAAACACAAAAAAACTGCATTTTAGACTGAACTTACTGAACTGAAAAGTGCTTTTTCAGACAATGCCCTTACTAAGATAGACCCTGTTTATCTCCCTCCAGTTGTTTCCAAGTTTTAGGATTACCATGTGTTTGGAATGAAAAGTTAAAACAAACGCCCCCACAAACTGTGTCTGGCAGTAGAAATAGCAAAAACATAACCTCTGCCTCATTTCCTCCCTCAAATCTCATGTGGGTGTATCTCCTTGGCAAAGGAGCGGTCTCAGCAGGTCCAGACTCGGACTAAGGGGGTCTGGTCACCATGGTCCCTAGCCTGACTCTCCAGTGCCGGGCAGTGACACACACTGTAGGGGGTGGAGTGGAATGAAGTTTGCCCGCCTACAGTGCCCATCAAGATATTGTAAATGACCCTCTGTTCTCAGAAATGTTAATTAACTTTTGGAAGGCCACCTGGTAAGAACCCACTCACTTTCTGGTTTGTCACTTAGTCAAATCCCAAGAATAATTCTTTTTATTCTTCTGTTCATGCATATTTCAAATTAACAGTTAAATTTACCTTGGTGACTAATCAATATATAATCATCTTTCTCGTAATGATCCTGTCATCTTAAATTTTTCTCCTTCATCACACCAGTTTTTCTCTTCGCTGCCCAAATGTCATTTCTCAGTCATTTCTACCTAAGGACATTGATAGGATGCTATAAAAACTCCAGTGGGATTTTTGCAAAAAAACTTTCTATTGCTTTTTGTTGAAGCATCATACCTGTACAGTATTTGTAAAATTAGGGCAAGGTGTTAGATCTTGTTGCTGTTTGGGTAGTGCTGTTTCTGTGTGTTGCTTGAGCTTCATGGAAGTTGCAAAAGGAAAAATTACCCGTTATTCAAACAAGAGGAGCAGAAACTTTCTATACCTTGGTTTATGTTTATGATATCAAAATCTAAGATCTGAGGTTATGTCTGGTTATATACCTTCCATCCAAACCCTTTTGTATGAACTAGAATGAAAGTCTTTTTGTAATAAAGTCAATGTCCACTTTTAAGTTCACTCCCCAAGCCAAAAAAACAAACAACAAAAAAAAGCACACTTGACCCTCCAGTCAGTGACATAATTTTCCTTATGTTGTGACACATGATTATGTTTATTTCCATTGCGATATCAATTACATGTGTCTTCTTTAGAAACGTAGTCCTGCTGGATGAATGATGATGGGCTTTAAAAAAATGCAGCCTCACAGAGTATTTAGAGTTAAAAAAATTCGTAGTAATTTTACTCTACAGGAAAGGAAGGTCACAGAAGATGGTTTTCATCTTTGCCTGAAATTACTCAGCGGAGCAAGAGTTGAGACAGGTCTCTTGACATTCCTCGGAAGCCTTTCTCTTCTGCTACACTCCTTCCCTCCTTAGGTCTTGGTTGCATTAGTCATTGTCTTGCTGATGTAAAAATGGAAGTTTCCTCTGTGTACTTTACTGCATCTGTTTTACGTTATTGCTCTGATCGCATCACCCAGCATCACCTCTCTGTGGTTTGCATGGCACGCTTGTTTTCTGCCCTCACCTTTTAACAACTTCCTGGCACTTTTGCAATATTCTGTGTGGATTCAGAAGTGATAGGGTCGCTAGAAAAAAATATGGCATTCCCAGTTAAATTTGAATTTTGAATTTGTTGAGATATTTTGAAATGCTTTAACCTAAAATTGTTTTAAATGAGTGATCTTTGGAAAGAACTTTACATTTTATTTCTTAGAGTGCCTCTGATTAAAATTTTATTTCACTTCCTTTGTATTTATCCATTTGAAATAAATGTACATAACATATTGGTTTTAATAAAAAAATCTGGTTTGGTCAATGTCAAGTTTATTACAATTTATTATTTACAGACCAACCCTGTTAAAAATGACTGCGTTTTAGACTGAATTTATTGAATTCAAAAATGTTTTTTTGCGCACAATGCCCTTACTAAGAGACACCCTGTTTATCTCCCTCCAGTTACTTCCAAGTTTTAGGATAACCGTGTGTGTCGGATGAAAAGTTAAAGGATTTAACATAAACTGTGATCATCTTGGTTCATAAAGTTTTTATTAAAATTTTATGTATTATACAGTTAAAATACTATAGATTTTTTGTTTTTGCAATCCCTATGCAAAAAGAGAATTGAGATTTTTATCTATTCTAGATATTATGTTGGGAAAATCTTACATTTTAGTTTACCCACTGATGATTTTTTACCGATTAAAATGTGAGCATCTTAGAATTAAAACCATCTTTCAACCTATAATGAGAAAAATTAGTGCACTGTTTTCATCCCCATTTCTACACCTTGCAGACAATCTTTTGAAAGCAAGAGAAATGACAAGATGATATAATCTCCCTCCGTTGTTTACTTCAAAATAGTTGTATATGGATAGAAACTAATTTTGGAGACGCTGTCCATTATTACGTAACTTCTTTTCTGTTGATTTTTATGTTTATGCTATTTACTGTGACACACACCATCTGGAGTAAGACATTGAGACAGCGGTTCATTTAAACCAGAGTTCAAAACACACATTTCCAAATATTTGTGCATCCTAAATTGAATCTGTGTGATATATTTACAAAATGACCTTCGGAAATGTTCGCAGCGGATCTGCTTTAAGGAAATGGTCATAAGAATAAAACAGAACATGTTTCCATGCCTACCAAAAAACCTGATTAAGTCATCCACAGGTTCGAAATCCAAGTACGCTCTGAATTATGAGAGAATATTCTTCTGTAGTGGCATTTTTAAACTCTCCATGACACTTTAGTAGATGTTAGATAATAAATGGGGTTCAAGTTCAAATACATTTGGAAAACCAAACAAGTTCATCTCCTTCTTCACAATGCAGTGGATGCTCTAGTGAGTTTGGGAAGCTATACTTAAAGATGCCTCAAGTATATGGCTATAAAAGCAGATCAGCTTATTGGAATCCTGGCTGCACAGTCTTGAGCATTTACTTAGCATAAGCCTCAGTAAACAATGATAGAAAAGCAGAGTAAAACTAAGAACCAGCAACCCCGATCCTGATAGAACTCTAAGTTAGTGAGCATGCAACAGTCTTCACTTTTTTACTCCAAGTTCACTTACAAAATAGAAATAATAATGGTACCTATGTGAGGCTTAAGTAGCATCTTCGTTCTTGAAAAACTGCTGTAAGTCCAAGGCATAGTAAGGAGAACAGGGAACACACAATATAATGGCCTATTACTTTAAGCTGTTGAATCTTATATTTCTCAAACCAGCTCGATCATGGAACTCTTGTTTTGTGTATAGAACATCTGTCAACATTTTGAAAACTAGATGCTTTGAAGCACAATTAAGAAGCACTACTTCCTGTCAGTTTTTCTGGAGGTTGGAACCATGGTGTTTCGCCAAATGCCAGAGCTGGGAATTGGTCCACATGATTTTCTCTCCAATGTAATCTTGGATTTAAAAGAGGATTATTTTCTTGGACTCCCATCACCTAGACAGGTGCAGTGTGAGACCCATTCAGACGTTGCCACTCCCCAGTGCTATTACTTGAGAGATGAATTCATTTCATTCTCCATTTATAGATCTTCTCTACCTCGTATATCTGGTATAAGACTGGAATAAGATAATGTATGATGAGGAAATGTGTTTAAGCCAGTAAAGACCCATGTAATGTGACGGAATTCCATAGAGAGACCATGCTGCACAGCCCGGGGTTCACACCAGGGCCTGAGCGATGGGCTTGCCATGCTCTGTCTTACTTAATCCCCCAGCAGACCTTATTTAATAGATTCATTTACCCTGATGTTACAGACAAAGAAACTAAGACTAAAAGACAAACATTAATTTATCAATTGCTGAAGTTGGACTCGTGCCCAGGTGTTTGTCTCCAAAGCCTAGCCACGTGGAATTCCATCTCACAAATTTATGTATTCTAAGTTGGTATCCATAGAATACAAATATTTTTGTATTCTAAGTAATGTTACGTGATTGTTGAGTTCCTTCTTTCTGTTTTCCTTTGGAAAGATCCCGATGAATTTGAGCGAATATATGAGCCTCTGGATGTCAAAAGTAAAAAGATTCATGTAGTGGACAGCGGCCTCACGTTTAACCTGCCTTACCCCTTGATCCTGAGGCCACAGAGGGGAGTCGATCTCATCATCTCCTTTGACTTTTCTGCAAGGCCCAGTGACTCAAGTCCTCCATTCAAGGTAAGAAGAATCTGTATACATTCAAGTATCTACCACATTCTTCTCATGTCTTGTAGCTATCTTAGTCCTCTTGACTCCAATTTCTTACCTCATTAGCCTATTTTCTATGTTATTGCGAGTGGTATTTCTTAAAACACAGATGTGATTCAATCACTCTCCTCCTTAAAGAAATTTTTCAGTGATTTCCCATGACCCACATTAAAATGCATAGTCCTGAGCAGGACAAGAATGATGCAATGTACCTGAAGTTCAGAAAGGAAATTAGGCTGATGATATTTGAGAGTTAGCAGGTAAAATATAACTAAAACCATACATGGGGAAGATGTACTGTGAGAAGAGAAGATAAAATGAAATAGTATCTTCAAGATTCAACAGTAGTCTCCGGAGAAAAGGAGAAAAACCAAGGAAGTGAGCAGTGTCATGAAAAGCAGTTGAACATATTGAACAAGGACGTTCTTGGTGAACAGGCCGAGAAAAGTTTCGGTAGGGTTGTGAGGGCACAAATCATACTGCTGTGATTTGAGGGATGAGTAGAAGTTAAGAAAATGGAGACAGTTCTAGAGGCTATCCAGGGAAGAAGGAGATAGATTCTCTGGGCAACTGGAAAATGGTGTGTGTGTGTGTGTGTGTAGAGGTGGGTTGTTAATAGAAGGAACTTGCGTGTGCTAAAGGCTAGGGGTCATTGGTGAAGATATTATTGGAGCATGGAGAGATGACGTATATGATACAGTCACCTCCCTGGGAAGGTGACAGGGACGAGGAGATGGATACAGCTGGAGAGTAGTCTAGAAACCTCCATATCGAGGCAAGAGGGAAGGGAGGGAATAATGGTTGTTGTTAGGCAAGGAGTCGGGATGTTAAGAAGTTGCCCATATGATGACTTCTAACTTTGATAGAAATTAGGAGTTAACGTGATCTGTGCAGAAGGGCAGAATGGAGGTGATGAAGCCAGGGGCCTGGGGAGGATAAATGTCTGCGTCTGTGAAGAAATGAGGGAACAAGTTCTAACGACGCGATATAGAAAGATCACTGGGCTGCCCTTCGGTCTCACCCAAGTGACACTGATTGTTACTGTTCCTTCCACCGGAAACACTTCAGACTTTCTTCAGATTAATCTCAAGCATGATCTTTCTTGACCTCCACAGGTATGGTTTCAGCATGAAACACGTAGTAAGTTCTACTAACACAACAGTTTCCGCGGTGTGTTGCCTGTGTTTATTTACACGTATATGTTGCTTCCACTGTCAGAGGACTCTGTGGGGACTTCAGCACTATTTGTGTGTGTGTGTGTGTGTGTGTTTCAGTTATTTAGTTCGAATTGCATTCTAAGAGCCAGGTAAAATATGGATAGAACATATTTTGTGGGTGAATGAATGAAATGCTATAAGAGAGATGGAGTTAGTATCCATATTTGATAGATTAAGAAACATAAACTCATAAATATTAAGTGAAATGGTCCAAGAAGTCATATCAGGAAGTCCGTGAGAACCCAGGTCTTCTGACACTTGGTTTCCTTTCTTTTTTTTTTTTTTTTATCCTCACCCGAGGACATTTTTTTTCATTTTTTGTTCAGATAGAGCAGGAGGGAGAGAGAGAGAGAAACATCGACATGAAAGGGACACGTCAAGTGACTGCCACCTGCACGACCAACCAGGGCCAGGGACAAACTGCAATTGAGGTACGTGCCCTTAGCGGGAACCGAACCCGGGTCTCTCTGGACCGCAGGCCGATACTCTAACCGCTGATCCAAACTGGCCAGGGCTGGAAGTGCTTTTTAAAACTTATGAGTGTTGTTATGATTGACATTATAAAAATATCCATTTTTACGTAGATCTAAAAGATTACCCAAATATAATGTTTAATTTATAAAAAGTATTATACTATTAATGTTAAAGTAGGTTACTTATTTTAATACAATATAATAAGGTTTAAAAGTTGATGAGATAATGTTTCTCTCTCTCTCTCTCCCTCCATTCCTTCTTCCATCCTTCGCTTCCACTTTATCTAAAAAATCAATGGAAAAGTATCCTTGGGGTGAAGATGAACAAATAAATAAATTAATTAATTAAATAAAAGTTGATGAGAAATCTATGTGAAGTCTTTTATGCGAGGGGAGAAATTCCAATGTAATAATAGATATATGCAATATGATTTTATTAAGATGATTAAGTAGCGAGTAATTTTCTGTTTTTGAAACTGAAATATGAATGCCATTTGTAATAAAAGATGAGCCCATAATGCTGGGCAAAATATTAGAATCATTAACTTTACTTCACAGTTATTGATATAAACATTTTGTAAGTATAGTTAAATTTCAGATCCTATAGGGAGAGAGAGGATGATGGGCACTGTGGCTTTTGATAAAGGCAACCACTTCATTTCTTATATCTGCTTTGTAACTGGCCTTGAAAGTTGATGACATCAGTGTCAGTGATACTGGGGATGTTTTTAGATTAGTAGACACATACCCTAATACAGCGGTTCTCAACCTGTGGGTTGTGACCCCTTTGGAAGTCGAACAACCCTTTCACAGGGGTGGCCTAAGACATAACAGTAGCAAAATTACAGTTATGAAGTAGCAACGAAAATAATTTTATGGTTGGGGTTCACCACAAAATGAGGAACTATATTAAAGGGTCGCGACATTAGGAAGGTTGAGAACCACTGCCCTAATAAATAGTTTAGATATAAAGAGCCTCGTGAATCTAAATAATTCTTACTGTTTGATTTTTGAAAAGCAGCTCTGTGCTTCCTTTTGTCATTTCTTTTTGTTAACCATTTAGTAAGTTAGATAAATGTCATGCAACTTTAGTTTACCATTGGGTCCAGTCAGTAATTCTGATAGGATTTGTCTTTAACGTTGTCATGGATATAAGCCAGCATCTTCATTTCAAATCTACAGAATAATCAGATTATGAAATTAGAAAAAAAAATCTTTGGCTTTTTTGAGAAACAAGTAAGGAATATAGGATAATTCAGAGTTTGCAACTAGAGGTATTTTCCCCCCTTTTACCTTACTAAAATTTATGGAGAATAATAGAGTTATTGTACCATAAGTTATGTTACTTTATATTAGGTCACCATATATCAAACATAGATCTAGCTCTGTTTTTTGGTGCCCTTTTAAACGCTTAATGACCAGAAGCCAGAACAATGGATTTATTCTCTTTAAAATAAAAGAAAAGGAGGGAGAAAAGAAAAGAAGACAATGGGAGAAGGAAAGAAAATTTGAAATAAGTCAGTCTTCACAAATGATAGAAGTAATGAGTCTAAATTAACTTTATCTCCCTATAGTTTGTCCAAGGTAAAAATTCCATTTAAATCCACAAATAATGGAAAAAGAATCTATGTTTTTCCATATTAACCTGATTTATTCGTTGACATTAGGGTTTTATCCTTGTTTTAGAACCTCTGCACATGATTGACTTGTGGTTGTTAGGCTGGTCTACACTGTCATGGCCAAACCAGAGTTGGCTCTGTTGGCATCAACCCACCATGGCTGAGAAAGGGAACTGCATGTTAGTCATTGTAGCATGTACAGGTTTACCTCTTGTCTTAGTTTCCTGGGGTCACCATAACAAATCACCACCATCATGGTGACTTAAAACAATAGAAACATACTCTCGCAGTTCTGGGGCCGGAAGTCGAAATCAAGGTGTCCTCGGGGCCACGCCCCCTCCAGAGCTCTGTGGGAGAACTCTTCCTTGCCTTTCCCAGCTTCTAAGTGCCTCCAGGCTGTCCCTGGCTGTGGCCGCATTATTAAAATCTCAGTCTCTGCCTTCTCCTCCTGGTGTGTATCTTCGTATAAATACACTTAATGTCTTGAAAGGACATTTGTCATTGGATTTATGGCCCACCCAGATAATCCATGATGATCTCATCTTCAGACCCTTAGCTTAATTACATTTATAAAACCTCCTTTTCCAAATAAAGTCACATTTACAGGTCTTTGGAGGTTAGGGCACGGGTGTATTTTTTAGAAGGTCTTACTACATCTGTATTGGTCATTGAGGAAGAGCTGTCTTGTGATGAATAGATACACTCAACATTAATTTCTCCTTATATATATTTTTATGAATTTACAGTAAGCTCTTAGTGAAGAAGAACTAACAAGAATTACAAAATTCTATGTAAATTCTACACACTATTAGGTATAGAAAATTATTTTTATGTCCATTGTATTCTCAAGCCGTTCTGATCCTAATAACCAGCATGCTTTCATTAGAAACGAGAATGGCCAAAACCACAAAATAATGAATTCTAAATTGTAGTTTATTTAATAATTTATAAAGATTTCAAAATTTTATTTACGTACTTATACTCCATAACTTTCCCTAGTCTAATAATATCTCTGAAATAGTGAGAAGCATCTTAGAAAGCACACATCCTAGGTTTACTGAGAAAACACTCATTTCTTATAAAGAAAAGCTAATTTATAATAAGAGATAGATATAAATATATTTATCTATAAATATATATTTATCTACATATCTAAATAGATAAGATAAAAATATGCCATTCACACTACAGTTTAACTCTATTTCTGTTATTTAGATTGTTTTCTGTCTTTCAAGTTGATTTCGTTCTCAAAAACGAGCACATTTTACAAAGTATTGCTTTGAAGGAAACCATCAAATTGTTATCTCCATAGAGAATGGTTTTAGTTCGTACTGTGTAAATTCACCATGAATTAGCCTATGGAAATTGGAAGCATCAGGGGTGTCAAACAGCCACCCAAATGGATATTTATATAGGATACAGTTCTGGCAGATTGCTCTAATTTGTAGAAACACAATCTCTTTGCTCACTGCATTCTTTTCCAATACTCTTTGCAAACTCATCTGCTCTGCTCATAGTCTGTGTCATTGGTTGTGTCTTTACAAGCAGAGAAATGAGACATCAAAGAGGAGGTGGGTTTTCCATTCTGTAATCCCTGTCTCTACAGTCGCTGGTTAATCGTTTCCACATCAGGATCATATGAGGAAAGAGAAAGTTTCCATCGCTTCCAAATACCAGCATCAAATACCTAATTAAAAATAGCCTGGTCTTTTACCTCATTCAGTTCCCTTTCCTCTTCCTCCACATCCACAGCCTTGGTCATACCCTTGAGTCATGTTTGTAAACCCTGGAAAGCTCGTGTCTCTCGGTTTTCTCACGCAATTGATTAACAGTAAGAACTTTTGGTTTTATTTTGATGGTGAATAATCTTGAACGAATGACTGTGAACGGTGTTAGATAAGAAACAACACGGTGAATTATTCAGCTGAATGAGGGGAAAGGAGTCAGTGGTATAATTTTTCTCAAGTTTCAAACAAGAAAGTGTTTATATATATATATATGGGATTTTCAGTGAAATATAATCATACCGGGTGGAGCAAAAGTAGATTTATAGTTGTGAGTACAGGAAACACAGAGTTTATTCTTGTGTTAGTTATTGTATCATTTTTCATATGAACAACTGTAAACCCACCTTTGCCCACCCTGTATTTAGCCTAGCAGTTTATGAAACAACTGCTTTAACATACACTCAATCTTTTCTTCTCCCATACTTTTATTTCTTTGTAAATGGCTTTGATAGAGAGTTGAGCAACTTAAAATTTATGACATTCCAGAAGCATCAAGAACAGTGAAAGTCCAATCAACAGGATGTTTTTCTCTAAACATATGGTGCTATTTAAAAAATATTTTTCTTTGTTGATTTTAGAGAAAGAGGAAGGGAGAGGGAGAGAGAGATAGAAACATTGATGAGGGAGAATATCGATTGGCTGCCTCCTGCGTGCCCTCTACAGGGGACCGGGCCCAAAACTGGGCATGTGCCCTGACCGGGAGTTGAATCAGCGACCTCTTGGTGCACAGGTCGACGCTCAACCACTGAGCCACACTAGCTGGACAAGGTGCTATTTTAAAGTGCTTCTTTTCTTATACAGAAATTACTGAGGTTTTGAAAATATCTTATTTAATCTTCACAGCAATCCTGAGAAAGATAATAGCATTAACTCTGTTTTACAGTGATTATAAAATGAGATGCTAAGAAATAAGGATGCGGTGGAATGGATGCAATGAGCTTGGGAGCCCACGATTTCAGGGCTAGTGAACAGCCTGGCCCGTTTGTTTATTTGTTCATTTGGATGTTGTTACTCATGATCCCCAGGGTGCCATTAGGGGAGTATCACTGCATACTCCTGCCCCCAAATAATCCTGATAGCAATGTTATGAGATATATGACCATCCATATTTCATACTTGAGGATATTGAATGTGGAGACATTGAGAAATGTGCTCGTGGTCCCATCGCTCGCATTTTAACTTGGCAGTCCGGCCCCAGTGTCTGTTCTTACTTGCCCCGCCCCCCTTCAGCTGCCTATAAATAGAAACGAGCTCTGCCGGTGGCGCCGCTCCATACTGATGTCTGTTCTCCAGTTTCAATGTAATACTGTGCGTGTGCGTACTACTGCCTTAGTCAGCCTCGACGCAGAAACAGACTGGAAATCTCAGGGGCCGGTGACAAACGCATTTCTTGGCCACGTTATGTCTCTACAGCTGCAAATCAGCTGCTGTGACTGTGTCCCAAGTGTCCTCTCATTCCGGGGCGCTGTGTGCGCCTGGTTCCCGGAAGGAAGCTAGCATGTGGAAGCAATCACGGTCGGCCACGTGTTCGGGGCCTCTGCACGGCCCACTCTGGGCCGCTGCGCGTGGAATAATAACATGCTCAGGCCAGAAGCGCAACCTCTTTGCAGGAACAGAAGCAAAACAGTGAGCAAATAAAAAAATAACAAGCAGCGACAAAAAACAAGCTGATTCGGAGTCACTGAAATACATTTGCATCCATAAAAAATGTGTTCATTGCCATTAGTTGTGCAGAGATAATAAAGGTAAAAATTCAGTTACAGAGTCCCTCATTCTGCTTTATCAGATTCGTTGACATCTAAGGATTAAAAACATTCCCATGGCCTCTAAGTGCCCGGGACGCATACTACTTTTTCTTCCTGTGGGGATTACATCTGTTCAGTTTCATTCAGTTCAGTGCCTTCATAAATTTCCCAGTGCCTCTTATGGAGCTAGCCTTGAACCAAGAACTAACAGGACAGGACTGAGTTTGCTCCCAGAGTACCTTTTATTTTTGTGAGATTGATGAGCTTCCTGAGAACAGGGTAATTGTTCGTCTAGCAGGAAGCTGCTAGCACATAGTAACCACCTAGTGAGTGTTGAATGATGGCCAGACCGACTGAACAAAGGGAGACCGAAGGTTCCCGAACGCGTCTTTTCCTCTCTCCCCTAGGAACTGCTACTCGCAGAAAAGTGGGCTAAAATGAACAAGCTCCCCTTTCCCAAGATTGACTCCAACGTGTTCGATCGCGAAGGGCTGAAGGAGTGCTACGTCTTCAAACCCAAGAACTCGGATGTGGACAAGGACTGCCCGACCATCATCCACTTCGTGCTGGCCAACATCAACTTCAGGAAGTACAAGGCTCCCGGTGCGTGGGAGTGGGCTGTGTTCCGTAAAGGAAAACCCGGTAAAGGAGCAAGGCCAGAACTAAGTCCACGCTGGCTCTTGCTCTCCCGGCTATTTGAACGTTTCCCTTCCCTTGATGAGTAGCTACTGTCCTGACACCCTCCCCATCTTCCCCCTCCAAGATCCCTGCGCTCTTCCCAGAAACAGAAGAGTTAACATCCAGCTCAAGGAACATCTCTGGGGCTTTACTCCAACACCTCCAGTTCCGCTTGTTCTGATGGGTTGGGGCCTCATCATAAGTGTTGTTAAATATTTTGAGCATCACCGCTTAAGGGAGCCCTTGTTTCAGGACAAGTCAGGCAAATGTTCCGGGAATTTTAGCCGACCACACGATGAATGTCATCTAGCAGTACAGCAGGGCTGATCATTTCAGGTTGCCACGTTCTAGTTCACAGAGAAAGAATCAAGTCCAGAGCAAGTCATCCTGTTGTACCATGTCCCGAGGAGCCTGCACACTCTTCAGTGTCCTGGAAGATGTTGATAAACCAAAGGAGAGCTAGAGATTGACAGGCAGGATGCTGAAAGCCTAGAGATTATACTCTATTCGGATCAGAAAACGTAATTGGAAAAGGAAAGACATAAAGAATGGTCGTGGGAGATTTAACAAGATTATGGAGAGTTAGATAATGTTTGGCGTAGGGTTCCCCCCAAAGCAGATTCTGAGCAAAGAATTCAAGTGCAAATAGTTTATTTGGGTGAACTAGGAAACTCCAGTGGAGAAGTGATAAAGGGAAGGGAGAAAGACAGGAAACAAGAGATGTGTTGGGAGCTGACTACCAAGAAGAGAACTTGATCCTGCTAGGAAATGCTGGGAAATGGACTAGAACCTATGATCCAGAATCGGCCTTCCGCATCACACATTCAGAGGCAAGGGAACTCGGGTATTTCTACCCTCAGTCCCTAGAGTCTTTGGTTGACTGCTGCCTGGGACGGAGTGTTACTCATCAGAGTTTCCAGTCTGCTGCTAATGAGCTACACTGCAGGGAAGAGAGGAGGCCCGTAGACACAGGCATGCAGACACTGGGCATTGGACGTGGCCCAGTCAAAACACTGAAATCCTCACCCAGGGACACACCAGTGTATCCTACGGTTACATAACCTCAGTGGGGCTCCCAGTGTTATGTTTATGACTGTTTGTATGTGTTATTCCTTCTGTTTTAAAGATATTTTGTAGTTTTCAAAATAACTCATTTGAGACTCTTCTCATATTTAGGTGTTCCAAGAGAAACTAAGGAAGAGAAAGAAATAGCTGATTTTGATATTTTTGATGACCCCGAGTCACCATTTTCGACCTTCAACTTTCAGTATCCAAATCAAGCATTCAAAAGGCTGCATGATCTGATGTACTTCAATACCCTGAACAACATCGATGTAAGTTATCTCCTATGATTACTGACGATGTCAAGTATTTCATATCACATAATCGGAGCACCACCTTTTTATAATTAAAAATAAAAACATGGTTTATGAATGACACCACCCATGTCATACCATTTTAATTTTCACAGATTATTGTATTAATCTCCAGAAGAACCCTATAAAGTTCACAAATAAGAAAACTAATGCCTCCAAATTGGCAGAGCCTACATTTTGTACTATTATTTTATTGACAGATTGGTTAATATACAGCTTCTTGCCAAAATAGCTCATGTATTTGTCATATGATACAATAAACTAGAAGTAGGAAGAAAAGTGATAGAAAGATAAAAGTAAGAAGTGAATGTAACCAGAAGTATTGTTAATGAATACACTCATGCTTTTAAATGTCTTTTTTTTTCTGGATCTTGGGAATGTCGCCCAAAGTAGCAGCTTCCCCATTTTTTGGCCCCTGAGATATCAAGTATGCTTAGATTTGGAAACTTTAGTAGCAAGTTCTTTTCTTTGGTATCATTCCTATCACTGGTGTTATCTGCCGATAAGATTCTGTGCCTACGTGAAATTCTTTAGTCTCTAACTCACTGTTGTATAATTGGAATTGTGTTGGCTTCTAGTTCCAAATCCCAGTGTCTGACAAATTCCTATCAGTTGTGAAAGCCCAACTTCATTAGCCTGATTGGATTTTGCACATTAGAAATTAAGAAAACAGAGGGGAAAAAGGAAGGAATTAAGTGGAGAGGGAAAGGCATCATGTATAACATGCCAGTCTTTTTGGAGACTGTGAATGGCTCAAAGAACACACTGTGTGTGCATGACTGTTCTTTGCATCTGAGATTGAATTGGGTTTGTGAGCTAATAGAATTCTGGCACATCTAGTTTGCTTGCTTGTGTAGTTTGACCTGAGACTAGTAATGATCAGTTGTGTACAGTTGTAACAGTTACACTGTAATATGTATATTAATCGATATCTTTAGCTTTTGTAAATGTAGAAAAATTTCCCCAATAAGCTTCAGTTCCTGCAACTCTTAAAACGCTTTCTTGTTAGCTTTCAACTATGAACAATGTGGTAATTCATGTGGAACATACTTAGCAAATTTTATAGCATATATCATTTTCTGAGTATATGTGTTCCTTTTTTTTATTTTTTTTATTTTTTATTTTTTTATCCTCACCCGAGGACATTTTTCCATTTTTTTTTGTTGTTGTTCAGGTAGAGTGGGAGGGAGAGAGAGGAACAGAGAGAGAGAGAAACATCGATGTGAAAGGAACACATCAAGTGGCTGCCACCCGCACAACCGACCAGGGCCGGGGACAAACTGCAACCGAGGTACATGCCCTTAGCGGGAACCGAACCTGGGTCTCTCCGGACCGCAGGCTGACGCTCTAACCGCTGAGCCAAACCGGCCAGGGCTATGTGTTCCTTTTTTACAAGCAGTGGACACTTGAGATCCATATGCTACGTTGTTTCTCTTGTGATGGTGAAAATTTAAAAAATATTAAGAGAAAATCATTATTTAAATCTATGATTTATAAAGAACAAATCTTTTCAAAATAGAGTTGTTTTATAAAAACCCCTGCTTGTTAAAAGAGACTATGGGGTCATATCAGAGTAAAACTATTTTTCCAGTATGAAGGCAATAAACTCAAAACTAAATATTCTTTGAGATGAAATGTATTATACTTGATACGTTATCTTCAAATGGAAAAGCATAGATTGTAGGAATATATAAATAACTTATTGGACTTGAGAAAATAAAAGATACATGCACACATATACGGGGTGGGGGGGGGTGCAGGCAAAAGTAGGCTTAAAAAAGAAGACAAAGAATACAATAATTAATAAATAAATAACAATACTAGAATAAACTGTTTTCCTTACTCAAAACTGTAAACCTACTTTTGCCCACTCGTGTGTGTGTGTGTGTGTGTGTGTGTGTGTATTTATATATATGAATATATGTGTAACTTAAACATCTACATTTCTCTCATTGTTTTCAGTCCTGGTTTATATAAAACCTATTAAACTATTTGCTATAAATATCTATTTTATTAAATTTGCTATTTATCTATTTTACAAACATTCTTCACAGTAGTTTGTTTGACACATAAATGAAAAGTTAAAAGCTAAACAAAAATAGACTGAGTTCCCAAATAACCGTGCTGACTTTCAGCTCATCAAATGTTGATTCTTCACAACCATTTAATTTAGTAGGTTTTGATTGCTTTCAAGAACTTTCCCCACATGGCATGTAGAAGCAAGGTCACGGGCTTTATATTATGTTTAGATCACAGATGGGCTATTTGGGTGACTTTGAATAAGGTACTTACATTTTTTGGGCCACAGTTGACTCATCTCTAAAACAGGTGTAGCAGCATCTATCATAATGGCAGTAGTGACTCTTTAATCAAGTAAGGTATGAATAGTGCCTGGCTGGCAAGCTGCTCAATAAATGGGAACCTTACCTAAGTGTGTCTGTACTCTATACCAGGATGGATACATGCCAAGATCTTTGCAAATGCCCAGAATTAAGACTATAGACAGATGTGAACAGGTAATAGCAGCCTGGGCAGTAAATAAATGTTGTTTGAATGAATGAAGATAGGCTTCCTCTTAAATTATATGACCACTGAGACTTGTGTTCAAGTAATTTTTGGTTGTGTGTGTGTGTGCACACCTCACACCCAGGTTAGAGTTCCAGTTTTCACTGACATTTTCTCTCTCCCATGATAAATCTTCCTTGTCCCTCACTTTTTACTGAAAAAACAGAGTTGATCACAACCAAAGCTTCTTGCTGAGTGATGATAAAGAACAATGCAACTGCTGAGGTCGGATGCTGTTGAGTTCATTAGGCTCAGTCATTAGCTAAATCACTCGTTCCCACACCCTTTGCATAGAGCAGGGTACTAACTCACACTTCAGCAACACCCACATTGACTTGTTATGGACTGTCGGGATGGCTTGAAATTGTGGACACTGAACATAAACTCTTCTAACGCAAAGCCACGTGACTGCCAAGTCTAAATGAAGACCCTTTCACCTCTGGGGCCAAGGCAACTTTTCACCTTCAATTCACATCCGAACATAAATTTCTCCTGTGCAGACTCCCCTGTCTCTGACGGCTGTGTGTCCCTGGGGCTTCATTGCCCCCGGAGATCCTGGCGAAGCCGATTCCACTTCATCTTTGGAAAAACCTCTGCCCTGCTTGTGCTCACTCATGACAGCAGCCTAGCTTTGTCCTTGGCAACAGATTTCTGCACTTGCTCAACCTCCCAAATTCCTTTCCACTGAGCATCGCTTGGCCTGGCTGCTTTTTCATTGGCAGGATTTCACAGTTTCCTTTTTTTTTTTTTTGGAAACCTAACATATAATAGTGACTTATACTGGTAGACATGTGGTATGTGGGAAGTGCAGAACCTTTGGAGTCGGACCAAACTGGGTGCTCAAATCCTTGCTGGCTGTCTCTTGGCTTCGTGATCTTGGGCACATGGGGTCACTTCTCCAAATTTTACCTCCTTATTTGTAAGGGGAAACATTGCTGCAAGTCTTATAGATCCGGATACGCATTCATCAAACAATATAATGTCAGGGCTTGGCATCTAAGTGACACTTAATAAACTGAAGCAGTTAATATGACAATGATGATAATTATCAGTGTTCATATTATCTTCCGCTTTGAATTAGCAATTGAAACCCATGAAAAACGATGACTTGGCTCATTCGCCTTGTACCCTCCAGAGATACTGATCACAATGCCTGGCACCTGAAATATGCACTGAAGTTTTTATGAATGATTTTTTTAAATGCCGCCGACTTACTGGCTGAAACTGTTGAGGAACTGAATGTGATTGGAGGAGGGCATAGCAAGGGTCAGGATACAAGGCCTGGAGGCAGTTCCTGACCTCGGAGAGTCTGTGCGGTGTGTGCCTGGCCAGGGAGCAGGGCTGCGTGCTCCCCAGTAAACCACTACTTTGATCTGGAAGGAATATGCCTTCTGAGATCGCTTTGCCAGGCCCTCGCTGATTCAGCCATCACAGGAAGGTGTACTGTTACGCAGTCTCATTCAGCTTGTTAACTCAGTGCGCATAGTCTATGAGCCTATCGTGTGTCAGCTTCTTCAGCATACGTCAATGATGCATAATAATGAGCTTTTAGAATCTGTTCTCGAACAGTTCTATAATATGTTAAACGTTAGATGCTAATTAAAACGAGGGACAGCACAAATCCAGAAGTACTGGTACTCAATTCTTAATTTATTGATATTTCATCATCCCGATAAGGGTGTGTCTAGGTACAAGTTAAAGTTTTTATCTTTTTAAAAATAATTTAGAAGCTTCTAAAGTAGCATGACCCAGTATTTTAGGCCCAAGTTCACCTATGTTTTGTGTCTCCTATGATCTCTTTCCATCTTATTTCTTCATTAATTCAACACACTTATTGAGTATCTGCTGTGACAGGCACTGAGATACAACGGTACACAAAACAAAACAGCAAAAACACGAGGAAGGTTTGAGTGCTTACTATAAACTAAATATTTCTCCCCCAAATACTGAGCACTCCAAACTAGCCTTTCAGGTAGGTACTTTCATTTACATGTGAGGAAACTGAGTCATGGATTGTTTCGGCGGAATGTGGGAAGTCACAGAATTCCATGAGGTGCTGAGATGGACCACGGGCTTTCCCCCCTTTCTTTCCTAACTTTTAATCCATATTTCTGAATATCCCCCAAACACCGCCTCATCTCCAACCAGATGCTTCCTACACATGCCATGACCTTCTGTCTTTAGCCTTTTTATAACACGACCCTTCTACTGAGAATGTCCAGTTTTTTTACTCCACTTATAAAACCTACCTGTCCTTCAACTCAACCCAAGTATCATTGTCCCCATGAGTTGAACTCTATCCTGTTTAACCTAACCTTCACTGATAACCTTCTGTACGTTCATTAATTTTACAAATACTTATTGTTCCCCTTCCATGTGCTCAGTGCTGGGATCCAGAATGACAACATGTAAAAGGTCTCTGCTTCCATGACACTTTGGTGTTAACTGGGAAGGGACACATTCACCAGAAATTTCACATCATTTAGGCCAGTATACCTCTCTGTAGTTTTCTATACTTGTAATTTCTATTTCTCCAAATATATATTGTGACTTCCTCTTTGGGCTCATTTTTAATTTTTTTTCTTTATTGTTTTCTTTTTTTTAAATTTTCTTTTTAGGGAGAGGGAGAGATAGAAACACCGATGAGAGGGAAATACATTAATCAGCTGCCTCCTGCACTCCCCCTCCGTGGGAGCAAGCCCGAAACCCGGGCATGTGTCCTGACCAGGAATCGAACCAGGACCTCTCAGTCCATGGGACGATGCTCAAGCCACTGAGCCACACCAGCCGGGCTCATTTTTAATTTTCTATTTTTGGCAGTTCAGTATTTGCTTATGGATTGCTTCCAAGTCACACTTCTAAATTTGTTCCTTTTGTGAAGAAGATCACATATTACATGTTTTTCTTTTCTTATTCTCTGCCTTTATTGTCAAAGATTTAAATGTTCTGGATCAACAATTAGGAGGCTATTGAATGGCACCACTGGAAAATGGCGTGGGTCACACATAGGAAGGGGCAGTGGCAATGCAAGGGTGCGTGACAGGGAGGGCTTGGAACCTCAGTGTACTTCAGGGGTGACTGAAAGGAGACATTACAAACACTACTTATGAAATTTATAATGAAAGAAACCCAGGAAGATTCAAATATGACCTATTGCGTTTTTAGAGACATCCAGTGGTACCATGTATCATGCTGGAAGGCTTGAATTGAGCAACTGATGTAGTTGAGCCTCTTCTGTTAATAAATCACAGTAAATCGGGTTTTTTTTTTTTTGGCAGTAATCTGAAAAAATCTGGTTAATGGTTTCATAGTGTTAATGTGCCACCTAGTGGTTCTCGTTGCATAGGATTCGGATTTTTCAGAGTTGTGTAAATACTCATTTTCCTTTATAAGAATGTCCTGTTTACTAGAAACACCTGCCAAGGTCCAAGTATGGTAAATATACTCATCATTGATATTAATATTGCTGAATGTTTGTGCTCATGAATTCATTATAAAGGAATTGACAGCCTTTTTTATTTTATTTTATTTTTTTTATCCTCACCAAGGATATTTTTCCATTTTTTGTACAGACAGAGTGGGAGGGAGAGAGAGGAAGGGAGAGAGAGAGAGAGAGAAACATCGATGTGAAGGAACACATCGAGTGGCTGCCACCCACACGACCAACCAGGGCCGGGGACAAACTGCAACCAAAGTACGTGCCCTTAGCAGGAACCGAACCCGGGTCTCTCCGGACCGCAGGCCAACGCTCTAACCGCTGAGCCAAACTGGCCAGGGCAGGAATTGACAGTCTTTATCAATACAATTTCCCCCTGTGGTCTTTTATAGATTAAAGCTTTTTAGGTGTTTGGAAAGGAAATCGCTGACTTTTTATTTTACTTGGCACTTCTCTGTAATGAGAGTCGATGTGTCTTGTGCTGCTATGGTCAAGGAGAAACCAACTGAAAACTTGGTGATAGGATATCTAGAAAGGAGGGGATTTATTTTTTTCCTTTAAAAAATGTTTTTCCATTGCAGTTGACATTCAAAATTATTTTCATTCTCTGCATGGTTTCTTTATACTTCAGTTCTAGGAGTTCTGTTCAGTTAGTCTTTAGATGGTTCTCCAGGTTGATTGTTCTATGTGGTTGTGGGAGGAGGCAAGTCCAGTGTTTACTTACTCTGCACCTTGATCAGAACCACAGAGGTGGGGAGATTATGAAAAGATGTAGTAGGGCCCTGGCTAGTTAGCTCAGCTGCTTAGAGCATCCTCCTGACATGCCATGGTTGCAGGGTTTGGTCCCTGGGATCCCTGGTCAGAATACAAAGAATCAACCAATGAACACATGAATAAGTGGAACAACAAAGTAATGTTTCTCTCTCCCTCTCCCCCTCCCACTTTCTCCCTTCCTCTCTCTCTCTCGAATCAATTTCAAAAAAAAAAATTGTTAAAAGAAGATGTAGTAGGACACATTTAATCACAGAATCGATTTGCTGAATTTACTAAATAATTAGCCCATGATTGGCTACGCATAGTGCTTTTTGTTTCTAGTAAACTTTATGGCATCACATCTAATTTGAAGCTCTTAAATTTCCTCACACGTGGTCAGTTTGAAAATAACAACAACACACCAATGCCAGTTATGGAATGTCTCCTATGTGCCATGCACTGTGCAAAGTACTTTCTATAAATGATCCTCAATCCCCACAAAAGCCAAGATTAGTAGTAGTATTCTCATGTAAAGAAGAGGAAACAGGTGCAAGAATTTTAGCTAATTCCCCTTGATCTCACACAGCCGAAAGGTCAGGGTCTCTTCTTCACAGGCCTGGAGCCTCTTCCTTGCCATAGAATTCATTATGTTTCCCTTACTCAGGGAGAACATGGGGTCAGCAAATATCTGCTTTAATTAAAAGACTTAGTAACATTTGAACCCATTGTTTTCCCGGAAGACAATGATCTATACAGAGGCGGGCCAAGGTAGGTTTCCAGTTGTTTGTATGGAAAAAGAACACAATAATCAGTAAGTAATAATACAAGAATAAACTCACATACTCAAAGTTGCAAACCTACTTTTGCCCACCCCATATGTCTATAAATTTTTAAATGATAAAGTAAATAAAGCTGTCACATCCCTGTGATAAAACCCTCTTTCCATAAGACAACCGCTTGTTGTTTCGAGTTGCTGTCAGAGAACAGAGGGCCTGCCCATCGGGTCTGACATGAAGCCACAGAACGTTACTTGCAGGTTAACACCACCAGGTCACACGTCTCTCTTCTCCAGGCATTGGACCTGGCTGCCCGGCGAGATCGGAGGTGGGCATGGGCAAGCCCCTCTGTGCACACCTCTCCCAGGCCAAGGGGGCCACACCAGCTCTGGGAGGAGGGGTTGGGGGGCCCTAAACTGCTCAGACTTGCCAAGTATTCCTCCCCACAGTAGAAGGCTTAACCGCATGTGGAGAATACCTTCATGTTGCTTAAAGACCCCTGGGGTGGAGATTAAAGGGGATTGTAGGATATCCCTGTGACTTGCCTCTGTGTCCTGAAACCACAGTGGTCACTGAGCTGAAATCCTACAGTCCTAGCCTGGGGAATGGGGTCTTCGTGACGGTGACAGGGATCTAAAATAATAGCGGAGCCGAGGTTACAATCCAGACCTCTCTTCCGAAGTCCATTCCCATTGCTCAGCAGTAACTGCTTCAACTAAATCCCAAATTCTCTCTCTCTCTCTCTCTTTTTTTTCTTTCCCAAAAGGTCCGCACTAGGTTAACTTCATATCAGAGAAGTGATCATTGCAATAGCAATTCTTAGAGATTGTAGTCACCATTTATTGGAGTATATAGAAGGATTATTCAAAATAAAAAATAGCCATCCTCAATAAAATCTCAAAGCATGGTGTTTTCTAGATAGAGGGCATCCATGATTTATGACCGGATCTTTTTAGCTGAGGAAGCAGAGCAATTCGTCAGCAATGCCTTCTCTCCTCATTAGGATTAGGGAAAGTCTTTTACTTCCTTGTGGTTTTTCATGTCCATTTGTCCACTAACTATAAAGAACATAAATTCTAGGTTTAGTAATCACTGTTTCTTCCCTCTCAACACCTTCCCGATGGAGGACAGAATGAAGATAAATTTACCATGTTACAAGTATTTTACTCCCAATCTTATCAGCACGTATCTGGAACACTCCCAGAATATTGTCTACCCCTCTCTGGTAGGGGAGGGAAGAGTATTGAATATGAGCTTATCCAGAGTGTAATGGTGAGATGTTGAAATTAAATATACACAGGCATGATTCAGAGATTTCCTTCTCCATTTCAAAAAGAATTCTATAATGAAAAAATTAATCAGATTTTTGTTTTGACTAAACAAATGTTTAAATGAGTTCAGGGCAGCCCTGGCCAGTTTGGCTTGGTGGTTAGAGCATTGGCCCTCGGACCAAAGAATTGCGGGTTTGATTCCTGTCAAGGGCATGTACCTCAGTTGCAGTTTGTCCCCAGTCCTGGTTGGGGTCATGTGGGAGACAACCAGTTGACGTGTCCCTCTCTCATGGACGTTACTCTCTCTTGGGTGAGAATAAAAAAAAAAAAAATGAGTTCAGGGTAGCATGAATGATCCCTCTTTTGCCTCTATTTGCAGGTGATAAAGAATGCCATCTTTGAAAGCATCGAATATAGAAGACAGAATCCATCTCGTTGCTCGGTTTCCCTCAGTAACGTTGAGGCAAGAAGATTCTTCAACAAGGAGTTTCTAAGCAAACCCCCGGCATAGTTTGTGTACTGGGAAGGGCAGCAATTTTTGATGCAGAAGCAGTTTGAAATTCCATGACAACTGGATTAAAGCACAATACAGACAGTAGTACTAATGATAAGAGGCTGATGGATGCTCAGACTCGTAGTTATTTATATAAAGCCACATGAGAATAATACCCTTATAAGTTTGTTAGGTTAACAGATGATGTTGATTATGTAAAAATATACTCAGCTACATTTTCTATCAGTATGGATTTCCTGATGCAAATGTGGGAACACAGACTGTATTTTTAGACATTCCTCACCAACTATGTTATGTGTCCTACTTTTAAAATGTGGTTTCTTTTTAGAATATTTAACACGTCAATCTTAATAAGTAAAAACTTGCATTGTGTGTGAATGTTATTCACTGACTGGATTTATTCATGCCATGAGACAACACTATTTTTTATTTATATGTGCATTTATACATATACAAAATAAACTCAAATTTTCGCAAATTAGCACGCGGTAAACTGAGTGTTATTATTTTAAATGAGATATTGCACTGTTGCTATGAAAGACTCTCACATGTATGGCTTCCAAACACAAAACTCGTAAATCCTAAATTTAAATGTGAACCTATCATTTAAACACAGTTATTTTTCTTAAAAGAGAAAGTGTGTATAAATTGTTGAGCAAATAGTATATATTTATTCAGCAAGTACAAAAAATGTAACCACTTCTAGTTTAACCATTTACTTTGCTGATATTATCCTGGACTGTGTATCCTACAGAAAGCACCAGAGAAAAATCCAGAAGAGTGGCAAGGGCTGAATATACAAGACTTGCCTTAGTGACAGTCTGTATTGGAAGAATAAGGACTTTCTTTTTTTTTTCCTTTATTGATTTTAGAGAGAGAGAGGAAGTGAGAGGGAGAGAGAGAACCATCGATGAGAGAGAACATCGACTGGCTGCCTCCAGCACGCCCCCCACTGGGGATCGGGCCCATAACCTGGGCATGTGCCCTGACCGGGAATCGAACTGGCGACCTCCTGGTGCATGGGTTGATGCTCAATCGCTGAGCCACACCGGCTGGACGAAAATAAGCACTTTCTTATTTTTCTTTCTTTGAATTATCTTTCTTTAAGCTCACTATTCATTTGTCTTTTTTTTCCTTTCCCCTTCCTTGGCATTTCCACCTGCGAGGAAAGACTGAAAACAAACAGAAGAAGGAGGGAACCTTGAAAGTTCAGTTCTTTCATTGGTTGATGTCTGCATATGACACATGAGTGCCCACGGCCGGTCATCAGCATGTGGCAGGGTCTGGGGATACAGCAGTGGGCAAAACTGACCGAAGTGCCTGTCCTCAAGGCCCTTCCGTTCCAGAGGAGGTGACCAATGACGAACAAGACAAATACGTTTCTAGAGTGTTGGTCGTAGTGCTAAGGAGGATGAGAAGAGTTGGGGGTGTATGGCTTTGAATGGGCCCTAGGGACGGTCATACGGAGAGGAGGGGGGCAGAGGGAAGATGGGGGCTGTGGGGACGGTGCCCGTGGATGTTCAAGGGAAGGGCCGACCTGGCAGCAGGGGCCACGCTCGTGCTCTGAGTAGGGCCCAAGCGTGTTCCGGGGATGGGGACGAGCCCGTGTGCCCCAAGCAGAGAGGGGGGCAATTCTTTGTGAGTTAATTATACAAGAGAAGAGTCTGAAACAATGTATTACATTAGTGACATGCTTTGGGCAGGATAAGAAGAGGATTCTAGCCCCGCCGGTGTGGCCGGTGTGGCTCAGTGGTTGAGCTTCGACCCGTGCACCAAGAGGTCACCAGTTCGATCCCCAGTCAGGGCACATGCCCAGGTTGTGGGCCAAATCCCCGAGGGGGTAGGGGGGCATGCAGGAGGCGGCCATTTGATGTTCTCTCATCGGTGTTTCTCTCTCTCTCTCTCTCTCCCCCTTTCCCTTCCTCTGTCTCCAATATATCAACAAAGGGCGGGGGAGAGGATTCTAGCCCCCATCTGTTATAGTGCAACAATCTGAAGTATGAGGAGACAGCAAATGAATAAACCTAGCAGTTCTCTTGTTTGTCACTATCATGGGTTCCGGGGGAGAGCAGGCATCGCCAGTGCCCGGGACTGCACCCACACACAGGACCCTAACCCTGAACCAGATACACCAGGACGCAGAAGCCTAGCTCGGGATGCGGCCAATGCAACCGGAGACACCTGGGCGCCCTGGTTCATGGAGCGTGGGGACCCATCGGGCGGTAGATTCAAAGGGGGCCTTCTGTGGCAATGCGCAGCTGCCACCTGGAGGGGGTTTCCCGGTGGCCCCTCCACCCTGGACGCTCTGCAGGTCTTTGGGCCTGGCCCCGGCTCACCGCCCGCGGGGTCCCGGCTACCCACGGCCCGCGGTGGAAGTGGGGAGCCCACGAAAGCGCAGATCAGGGTGACCAGGGGCCTGGAACAGGGCACCAGTCCGGAGAGGCCAGGTCACAGAAGCAGGATCTTGGGGACGCGGGGCATTTGCCTCATCCCAAACCCTAACCGACAGGAGTGCGGTGTCCCCGAAGGCGGACCTGAGGGATCCGGTGGCCTATCGAGGGCAGGACCAGGCAGGCGGCAGGGGGACAATCTAGTAGGAGACACTAGGAGCCACCGGCAGCAAGTCCGAATGGTTCTGACTGTTCTTAACTTGCAGTGTCCCCTTCCACAGGGCAGACTGTGCAGGAGGTTGGGGACAGACCCCAGCTCCAGGGCCTGGAGGGCCCCGCCTGCCCAGTGTCCTTGGTACAAGGTGACCTGCACGTGCCAACGGCGCATGCGTGAGCCCTCCCTTTAAACCAGCGGAATGGAACCAGGCGCGGGTCGGGCCAGGCTGGGCCCAGCAGCAGGACTGGGATACAAGGCATCTGCCTGCTTCCACACCCCAAACCGCACATGCCAAATGCCCTCTTCACCGCAGGAGTAAGGCTGGTGCCAGCTAATAAAAGACTCCCAGGGGCGCTGGGTGCTGCCGAAGCCAAGGGCCCGCTAGCCGCGTGTCCACCTGGGAACTGGCTGGCGCCACTCGGTAGCTGCCACCGCAGGGCGCTGTTCCGGGCCGGCCGCCCTTTGCCCGGGGACTGCGGGTGGCAGCCCGGCCCCAGCGGCACAGGCCTGGGAGGCCCAGGCTGACCCAGGACGACAGACAGAAGGGGTGAGCTCTGCGCGTGCTGAGGAGTTGAGGGGGCGAGGGGTCCGAACCCTGCCACCGTGGGCTTAGGAGTGCTCTTGGGGAGGCATCCGAAGGGCAGCAGTGGCGTCTTCTTATGCCACCCATGAGAAATGTGGTAGCTGGAGAAGCCCGGAGCCTTCAGACAGTGTGACTATCACCCATTTACAGGTACCCCTGGGTGTGCTTTAGGGGTGGGGGCGGAGGAGGGGGATCCTCCCACACTGGAGGATATGCAGGCGGAGGGGTGGGCCCCCAGCTCCACAGGCCTAGGAGGCCCAGGTTGTCAGAGCCGCAGGTGCAAGGGGAGCAGAGTTCAGGGGAGCCAGGGATCCCGGGGGGAAGAGTGCAGGTCAGGGGTGCAGGATCTGGGGACTCCAGGCATCTGCCCACCTCTAAGCTCTAAACCACCTAAAGGCGCATATTCGCCCAGAGGGCAGAGCTGCAGGAGGCTGGCCTGCCTTGCCAGGGTGGGGCATCATCTGATAAGAGACACCTGGGAGCTCTGGTTTCTGGAAGAGCACGGGACACCTTAGGCTGCAAGTCCACCTGGGGACTGATGATGATATTTTGTAGCTGCCCCATGAGGGTGATTTCCAGAAGGGGCCCCCTCCTTACTGGAGGCTTTGGAAGTGAGAACTGTGTATGCAGGCGCTGGGCAGTTGGAACTAAGAGAGGGCTTGGGACCTGGAACTAGGCAAGGGTCCGGAGAGGCCCCATCACAGGATGGGCTTTTGGGGGCAAAACATAGTCTAACTCCGAAGCCCAGAAATATCCAAATGGCAACGTTCCTGCTGAATGCAGAGTTCCAGGTTACTGGCCAGCCTTGCTAAGAAAGTCTGGGAGGGCAGGCAGTATTTTCTTCTAGGAGACACCAAGTGTCCTGGTTGCTGGCACAGCCCTGGACACCAACACCGCCAGGCAGCAAGTCCAAGTGAGAGTGGCTGTCGCCAATGCCAATTTGCAGTGGCTGCCCAGGGTGACCTCTGGGGGTGGGCCCCTCCACACTGAACACTGAGCTAAGGCCATGCCCCACCCCCACAGGCCTGCAGGGCGTGGCTGCCCCAGGCCAGGTGAAAGGGTGCACACTGTGCATTCACGTGACAGTGACAAGCAATTCAGGGCAGCTAAGGATGTGGAGCCCAAAGGGTCAGGAGAGGCCCTTATATCGCCCTGCAGCCTAAGACTCTCCAGGTGGTCGTCCAGGGCAACCACAGTGCTCCCTTATTCCCTTCCCTCAGGGCATCCTGTGCTGTTTCTGGTTCAATGTCCGATTTCCACTGTTACTTTTTAATTTTAGATTTTCCAGTTGTTGGGGGCAGGGGAGGGCAGGAAAGACGGGTCCATGATGTGTGAAAGCAAGGACTTGAAGAAGGCGCAGACTTTAGGTCCATCAGACCAGCTCCATTTCGCTGTAGCTGTTTGCACTTAACTTCTCCAGGCCTTGTTCTCCTTACCTGTGTGTGGGGCCCGGGAGACTCTCACCTGCGCTGGGTCGACTGCACGCTTCTCCCCAGGGCGAAGGAGCCTTGGTCAGTGCTATGGGACTTTTTTACTAAAGACGAATGCTATTCCACATGGTTCCAGGTGTCGGTGTTGCTTAGTAACACAGCTGGATTTACGAGTCGCATTTGGTTTAGGGGAGGTCAGGGAGGGCCGTGTTTCAACAGCTGAGGTGAGTCCCGTAGCTGGCTTGGGATATGGGAAGAGATTTTCCACCAGGAACGGTCTCTGGGCCCCGTGGTACGCAGGTGCTTTGCATGAACACTGATGGTGGTTTGAGACCTGGAAACAAAGCATCTTGCGTGACTCCCCTCCGGGGCGGGAGGAAAAGAAGCCTGTGCCTGAGACTCTGGGGCCCTTTTGAACGAGTGAGTGCCTTCTGCTGTTGCTGTGCTTGCCTGAGAATAGACCGAGTCTTATGAGCCCTTTCCGAGATCAAACACTTCCAGATGACTAATGTGCAATTAATGCACTGAAAACAGTACTGATAATCTCCCCATTATATTAAGGATTAAGCAGAACAATCGATGTGAAATGCTCGAGTCCATGCCTGGCATGTTGTAGGTGATTAATGACTGATAGTTGTAATATTTACCAAAACATTGTTTGGGGTCAAACACATTTTAAGCATTCAGAGCAAGAAGGAATGCTGTAATTACAGTGGTGATGGACACTTACAGAGACGGTGAGACTTCGCCTTGGTTGTGGATGCTGTAGCATTAGGAATGCAGGAAGAAACG